ACGCCTGTAATCCCAGCTACTCAGGAGGCTGAGGCAGGAGAATTGCCTGAACCCAGGAGGCGGAGGTTGCTGTGAGCTGAGATCGCGCCATTGCACTCCAGCCTGGGTAACAAGAGCGAAACTCCGTCTCAAAAAAAAAAAAAAAAAAAACAAAAAAAACTTGTATACAGATAATCCTATCAGATTATTCAAAATAACTAAAAAGTAGAACACAAATGTCTATCAATTAATGAATGGATAAATAAAATGTGGTACATACAGACAATGGAATGTTATCTGGCATTAAAAGGGAATGAATGATATATGGAAAAACATGGATAAACCTTAAAAAGATGCCAGGTGAAAGAAGCATATTGTATGATTCAATTTATATGAAAAGTCCAAATAAAGAAACAGAAAGTAGATGAGTAGTGGTTGCCTAGGGCTGGGGAGGACAGAATGGCTGGGGTTGACAGCCAGAAGGGTATGAGGTTTGAGTAATAAAAATGTCTTAACATTTTTGAATTGTATATTTTATTTCTATTTATTTAGTTTTTGAGACAGGGTCTCCCTCTGTCATCCAAGCTGGAGTGTGGTGATGTGATCACAGTTCACTGCAACCTCCACCTCCCTGACTCAAGTGATCCTCCTGCCTCAACCTCCCACATAGCTGGGACTACAGGTGTGGGCCACCACGTTCAAATTTTTTGTAGAGATGGAGTTTCTCTGTGTTGCCCAGGCTGGTTTCAACTCCTGGGCTCAAGCAATCTGTCCAATTTAGCCTCCCAAAGTGTTGGGATTAAAGGCATGAGCCACCACACCTGGCTGAATTATACATTTTAAGTGGGTGAACTCTATGGTACATGAATTATATCTCAGTAAAGGTGTCATCAAAAAAGTTCATGTATAAATAAAACTTAAAATTCTGAAAATACTTTATTATGGAAACAAAGTAAACAGGGTAATTAAGCATGAAATAATTTCATTCTTGATAAAAGTATACTGATTATTACAAAATTTGAAGTGTTAGTTTATAACCCACATTTTTTAAAGAATTTGTCTCTGCTGAAATGAACTTTCATCCTTTGCAAAGATGCAACTTTACAGGAGGAACATATTTAATCTAAATACACACTGTCATAGATAAGACTCAGAGGATAGTATATATAAAGCTAACTGTACTCATCTGTATTAAATAGCTATACAAAGCCACTCACTTAAAACATGAAAGAGTTGTTTATGAGACATTTCAAACTATAAGTTTGGAATTCTTGTTCCTTTGTGATACCATTATTCTACTAAATACAGGTAGTGGTTAGAAGTACAGTGTACCTCTTATAGAACAACACATAGGATTAGATATGCCAAGATTAAGATGTTGCACATTTTAGGAAACTTAGAAATAATTCAAAGATGCTTTTATGGTAAACTCAGCAAATTTGGTTCCAAAATGTCTTTTATTATGAAAAACAAGTATAATGTTTAGAAGTTAATGTACAGAAAATAGTTGTCATATATATTCCTTTACAATTTTCACACCTAAGTTTATTTAAAGTGTTAATCCTACACATTAAAAAACAAATAGGAAATTGCTAAATTTTACTTGCAACTTTTTGTACCTATAATTTTGATACACATTGGCAACTAAAACAATTAGTAAATAGCAACAATAGAGACTACATTTTTTTTTAATTGAGCAAATGAAAGGAGAATATACTGAGATGTAAATCAGGAAGTAGTTATTGGCTTTACAAAAAGTTTTTAAATATACAGATTAATTAATAACATATACCCTTTAAATAGCAAAGCATTTAAAATAAATTTACCCCCCCCAAAAAAACGTACATATTTAAAAAAAAACCTGTCAGTTGTATAAAGAGAGGCACTACTTTTATCCATAAAAAGCATAAAAATTTTTTACCGGTTCAAAAATAGAAGCTCAAAACTGATTTCTGAGACACAAAACAATACAATGGCTATTCACAGTGCTCTTCAAGAAATTAAATCTATCTTTTTCAAAGCATGTTTTTCAGTCTCAATTTATAACACACTTGGACTTCCATTTCTGCTTTTCCTTAAATCAATCTGGACTGTGTAGAAGAATGCCATAACATGAAGCTATTAGCAATCTGGGTTAATGTTCTACCAAAAAAACCCTGTCTATATACACAGAAAGTAATGAAGAAAAAAGTTAGTGTTGAAGTACAATGCATACTCCTTAGGTTCTAAAATCTACCAGTTTAACAGAAAGCACCAAGGTACAGATGCCAAAGTTAGAAAAAATACAAAGCAGCTCAGAATCAATATCATATATGTTATTCAAGGTAATTTTATGTTAGATTGTTTGTATGGCATTTGGGAGGCTAAATTAATTTAGGAGGCTAGAAATCCCATTGCTACTTTTAACTAAGATTTGCTTATTACTTTTCTGTGCTTATTGATGAGAAAACATTACTAAAATTTTCTTATGGAAAATGAGGAAACATATAATAATTTTTTGAAAATAAAAAGTAAACTTAGAAATAAATTCAGGCACTTATATCAGTGGGTTTGCAATACCAAGGGCAAAGAACATTTTTTATTTCTTCAAGAAATTCCTTCCACCCAAAATCCATAAACTCTTCTCCTCTCATAGTAGATCTTAATCGTCAAACCTAAGAACCGTTAAGTTACCGAAGTGGAATTACTTGTAGAATTGTGAATCATTTGTTCACTCTACAAATAAGTGAAGAAATAAATTAAATGCTTCCCACTTAAAGTTGTCTAGTACTACTGTTTTAACTGCAGTTAAAACAAAAGCAAATAGGCTGGGCATGGTGGCTCACGCCTGTAATCCTAGCACTTTGGGAGGCCAAAGCAAGTGGATCACAAGGTCAGGAGATGGAGACCATCCTGGCCAACATGGTGAAACCCCGTCTCTACTAAAAATGTAAAAATTAGCCAGGCATGGTAGCGGGCACATATAGTCCCAGCTACTTGGGAGGCTGACGCGGGAGAATTGTTTGAACCTGGGAGGTAGAGGTTGTGGAGGCTGCAGTGAGCTGAGATCACACCACTGCACTCCAACCTGGCGACAGAGAGAGACTCCATCTCAAAAAAAAAAAAAAAAAAAAAATCCCAGAAGCAAATAAACTCATCTGTCATATTCAATATTGTCATTTCCATAATGAAGCTTACTTTTCCTTTTCAAATGATGCTAGATGAAAAATTCATTATTTAAAACATCCCATTAACAATTTTTCCAGATCAATTTTATTTAAGAAATAAGTGGACAGAAAGAAGCAAAAGCAGCTTACTAATATGTCAAACAAAACACAAGCACCAAACCTAATTCAGCACAGGTGATCTTGATATAAATCAATAAAAATTCAAGTAAATATTTCACACTACATAAAAAGTAGGGGGTTCTATTTCCCCTTCAAAATACGGAAGATGATTTTTAAATTACATTGTTTCACATGCTCTCATCACAAGTACTACCATGTAACTATTCACTGTGTGCTTAGGTAACTATGGTAATATTTTCAGAAGTCTTGCAGCAAAATACTAGTGACTCACTACTCAGATGTACACAGTCAACCTGAAGTACACTACCTACAACTACCTTAATATAGTTAAAAAATTAGGTTAAAAAAAAAAGAAAAAAAATTAGGTATAAGAGTGAAATGAAAACCACTGAAACTAATCTATCAGATATATGACATCATCATCAAACAATTCTTCTTTTTTTTTTTTATCATCAAACAATTCTTAAGCTCCAAAAGAGCAAAGCATCCGAGAGTCTAAGAATGCATGTACTTTTACAACATACGTATAACAGAAAATAAAGACAATGGAAAAATGCTCCCTTCTAATGTAGTGTACTTTTACAACGTAACAGAAAATAAAGACAATGGGGAAATGCTCCCTTCTAATGTAGTAATTTAGAGTACCGAAAATGCAAGTTTTGCAGCACTCTAATAAGTAAGAATTATGAAAATCTGTTCACTGAACAGGAGTAAAAGAAAAAATTAAACATGTATCCCACCTTATTAAAATGACACATCTATAGGCTACATCTATCCTGAATCTCGTTATGAGGACGAATTAACTTTTTAAAAGTTTATCTTAATAAATGATTAAAAATATGAAAATACTTAAAGGAACATAGCATTTAGACTGTGAAACTGTGTTGCAAATTTTATTATAACTTTTTCTTGATGTTGAAGACTGCATTAGTTCCATAAATAGCATTGCTGCCGGGCACGGTGGCTCAAGCCTGTAATCCCAGCACTTTGGGAGGCCGAGGCGGGTGGATCACAAGGTCGGGAGATCAAGACCATCCTGGTCAACATGGTGAAACCCCGTCTCTACTGAAGATACAAAAAATTAGCTGGGCATGGTGGCACGTGCTGTAATCCCAGCTACTCAGGAGGCTGAGGCAGGAGAATTGCTTGAACCCAGGAGGCGGAGGTTGCGGTGAGCCGAGATCGCGCCATTGCACTCCAGCCTGGGTAACAAGAGCGAAACTCCGTCTCAAAAAAAATAGCATTGCTTATGTTTTATAATATATCTGTACGCAGAAGCATGTTTAACAGCAACTGCATGTATCTCCAGAAATTGTTGCTCATTTCAGAACACATATTTTTATTCTGATAAGGATTTAATGTTTTACTTAGTACTTCAGTAGAAAACATGTGAACAGATTGTATACCCCATATCAGTATTTAAAAAAAAAAAAAACCCGAACAACATTCTTTTAAATGTCCATTTAAAAAAATATATTATAGGTAACAGTTATTGTTTTATCATGATTAAATTGATATCGAATTAATAGGCATAAGTGAGAAAACTAATCACTTACTATCATTTAAAAATGCAATAACATCATGCATTATGTATTACTAAGTAAGTGCTCACTTATATAAGCAGCAGATGATAACAGTACCATGAAAATTCTAGATATATCTTTATGTATATCCTTGAAAATCACTTTCTTTTATATAATTTCTATTTTAATTTAAATGCCACATATCTTCAGCTAACATTTAAATTACTTTTATTGTAAAACTTTAGTTGTTATACATCATAAAACACCTTCAGAAACTTGCCTGAAGGTAGGAATAATTCCTTCCTCCTACTAAATAATTATATCACATTAAGTATTTATTTATTAAATGCTATGTTTGAGAAATCTATTCTGACCTTGAACATATTCAAATTCAAGATCAATATTGTAATAGAATGAAGATTTTATGGGGAAAATGTTGCAATCAGTAAAAGTGTTAAAGAGCATTTAACAGTAAGGAAGACACCTGTCTGGAATATTGCAGAGTGGTAGATACCACATTTAATCAAAGGACAGTAATGCTTGATATTCTATTTCCCACAGAACTCTGGATCCAGTTAACAGCAGAATGGGGAAAGAAGCAGCAATATTTCAAATGTCCATACTCTGATCTGCAAAAGACACCGACTAGGTAGAAGAAAATTGCATTTTACTTCAGGTAGTCTTTGAAATGAAGGCTCTGTTATTTTTCAAGACTGGAAGGATATCACAGTGTTGATTTTATATACAAAGTAGGATCTATTCCAGTATACTCTAGTGAAATAATTCACATATGGAGAATAGTTAATTTTGACCTCATGACAAAATCGCCCATATTTTGAGTAGGTTAGCTTGTCACCTTCTTCACAAACCATCTATTAAAAGATATAAAACATAATATTAAAAAGCTTATTAAACTTATAGCAGAAATGCAATCAATGTACAAATGACTGTATTTATATGAAAAAACACATTACTGATAAACACTGTCTATACAACATTGTCTATACAACATCTCACTGTTGGCAAACAGAAGCCTCTTCATAAGTGAGTCACCATGCACACTATACTCCTGAACTTCCCATTGACATTGAAAAATCAGTATAAAATGTTTTTTTTAAAAGATTTATTTTAAAATATTTAATCCTAAAATTTAGAACACAATGTTTCCATAATCCATTATCAATGCTGTGAAGAACCTTATCATGAAACCTAACAAGGCTGAGAAATGGACATATTATATTCCCAAATACATTCAAACTCCTGTCTTTTGTAGAATTGACTCACAATTATTGAGTAAGCAAGAAAACTTTTGTGACTTATTGCAGACCTTTACACTTTTATCAAATGACGTTCACTAAGATAGCTTAGTTAGCTTGAAGGATTTTTATTTAAAAAAAAAATTAGGTAATATTTTAATGCCTATGAAAGATTCCAGATAGCCAACTTTAAAAGGATAGATTAGCTTAAGTCCATTCTAGGCATGACGTGAAAGAAGTAAGCTGATCCTCAAAACAGAGCAGAAAGGTGGGTAGCCAGAGCAGAACAGAAAGGCTCCAGATAGCAGATAGTAATATAGTAGCAATTACTGAAACTGTACCAAGGCTTCATACAATTCCATTTTGTCAACAATAAACCAAAGATCACAGCCACTAAGTACCAACAGTGAAATTCAAAATGCATGCAGCATAAAACAGGGTAAGTTTATATTACAAGATTAAGGGGTCATGAAGAAAAGAAAGGTGGAAATCACAAAAACTAATTTCTTAACTCCAAACTGATCTTGGATAAGATAAAAAGCTATGATTATTTAGGAAAAGACAGAAAAAATCTTGGCTGCAACCTGAATAGTATACACATTACCACTTACAATGACTTGCTAAACTTTTCCTATGATCTCTCACTCCCAACTTTCTCAGGAGTCAAGAATTCATTCCAGCCAACACTAAGACTCAGATACACAAACTGCCTTCACTGGAAGGCCATGGCCGGGGGAGAGGGAATACACACACACACACACACACACACACACACACACACACACACGCCACTCTTCAGTCTACTTGTAGAAAAGACAGCTTGGTAAAATAGCTGAAATCAATGCAGAAATTAAGATACAGCTAAGTCCTAACAACTAACATGGCTCTTAAGACCCATGTTTTTTGTGGATAATAGGGTCTGTGTTAATTTAGTATGCAATTTTTCTAGATAGACATGAATCAAATTACAAAAAAAAATCCAAACATAAGAATATAACAAGATAACCAGTTGCTCTTTAGATTATAATAAAATAAAATCATCATCAAATCAAATTATGCCATCTTTTATGAATGCTGAAACTTACATAAGTACAAGCAATGAATAAGGAATTCAGGTATTGATATATTATTATATTATTATTATTTTTTGCAAAAATGCCCAGCTTTTCTTTTGTATGTTGAAAAAAATACTTCAAACTACTTTTAATAAGCTCTCGCCGGGTGCGGTGGCTCAAGCCTGTAATCCCAGCACTTTGGGAGGCCGAGGCGGGTGGATCACAAGGTCAAGAGATTGAGACCATCCTGGTCAACATGGTGAAACCCTGTCTCTACTAAAAATACAAAAAAGTAGCTGGGCATGGTGGCACATGCCTGTAATCCAAGCTACTCAGGAGGCTGAGGCAGGAGAATTGCCTGAACCCAGGAGGCGGAGGTTGCGGTGAGCCGAGATCGCGCCATTGCACTCCAGCCTGGGTAACAAGAGCGAAACTCCGTCTCAAAAAAAAAAAAAAAAAAAAAAAGCTCTTCCCATTATTACATAATTCAATTATATTCTTAGTTAAGTTCCAAAAATAAAGTTTAAAGTTTACAAGTTTAAATAAAGTCATTTTTCTAAAACAAAAAAAAATTTCCAAATGGTTACTTACGTGGCCATTTGCAATGTCTAATAAATCTTTAACCCTACAGCCTCTCACGGTTCCCACCTCATTGCAGATAGCATCCTCTACAATTAGGTAATTAGCTTTGTAAGATGTCAGTATTTTATAAATATCCTCAGCAGATCGCTTTGAATAGATTTGGTAGATCTGAAAGAATACAATTAAAATAAATTTTAAAGGACATTTAAAACTTCTGTAAATTGAAACTATACATCAAGCATATACTATGTTCTCAGTACTATTATGAAAAATAAAGATATTTATTTTATAAATATAAATATTCACATATATATTTATCAAAACTCATGTCTTGATTATTTGGTGCTTTTTATTATAATTCTGCTGAACTTCTTAGATAATAAGCTCTGGATCTTATTAGATAATAAAGCTTTTCAGTTTTTCTGAAATGTTAATATTGGATCAACTCTTGTTATCCTTCAAAAAACAATAAAATCTCAAATATTAGGACCAAGTATCATATACAATTTGGCCTGAAAATACTAAGATTTGAAATCTAGAATGAGTTAGATTCCAATCTATTTGCAGAACACCCAGTAGCTGCCTCCTACCTGTCACCGTTGCTGCCGATCTAGTACCTTCAGTTCCCATGTCCACTGACATGCTAGGAATACCCACCCTCAACATTCTGTGGCACACAGAAGGCTAATACACCAAGAGGAAGTATCTCCCTCATTTCATCATTTCACTACACGAAATAAGTTTCAGTAGGAATGGTTCTATCCTATCCAGCCTATACCTATTGATGGTTACTTACAATTTTATTTATTTTTAAGTGTTAAGAAACTAAAACATACTGTTGGGGCATTAAAAAAAAACAAAACAGCCGGGCGTGGTGGCTCAAGCCTGTAATCCCAGCACTTTGGGAGGCCGAGGCGGGTGGATCACAAGGTCGAGAGTTCGAGACCATCCTGGTCAACATAGTGAAACCCCGTTTCTACTAAAAATACAAAAAACTAGCTGGGCGTGGTGGCGCGTGCCTGTAATCCAAGCTACTCAGGAGGCTGAGGCAGGAGAATTGCCTGAACCCAGGAGGCGGAGGTTGCGGTGAGCCGAGATCGCGCCATTGCACTCCAGCCTGGGTAACGAGAGCGAAACTCTGTCTCAAAAAAAAAAAAAAAAAAACAACACAAAAAAACAAAAAAACACTTCTATGCAATTGCAGTAACATTATTGATAGCCTAGAGCACAGTTTCTCAACCTTGGCACTATTCACATTTTAGGCCACATAATTCTTTGTTGGGACAGGAGGGAGGCTGTTCTCTGCAATGTAGATCAGCAACCCTGGTCTCTACCTACAAGATGCCCATGGAACCCCTCCTCCTGTTAGGACATTGCAACAACCAAAAATGTCTCCAGACATTGCCAAATGTCCCCTGGTGGGATAATTGTCCCAGGTTAAATCACTGGCCTAGGGGATTATACAAAGATTAGCCACATATTATTAATTAGAGACTCCACCTAATTTAAATAATATGGTTGGCCAGGTGCAGTGGCTCACACCTGTAATCCCCACACCTGTAATCCCAGGGCTTTGGGAGGCCCAGGCAGGCAGATCACTTGAGGTCAGGAGTTCGAGACCAGCCTGGCCAACACGGCAAAACCCCATCTCTACTAAAAATACAAAAATTAGCCAGGTGTGGTGGCACGTACTGGTAGTCTCAGCTACTTGGGAGTCTGAGGGAGGAGAGTCGCTTAAACCTGAGAGATGGAGGTTGCAGTGAGCCAGAGATCATGCCACTGCATTCCAGCCTTTATGAAATTCTGGAAAATTGAAAAACAGAATATTGGGAACTCAGGTTCAGTCCATCATTGCTTTCAGATATGAAGCTGCCATTTAAATCCATACCATACCAGACTGAGACTCCATTTAAAGAAAAGAAAAAAGAAAAGAAAGAAAGAGGGGGAGAGAGAAAGAGAAAGAGAGAAAAAGAAAAGAAGATAAGAAAGAGAGATAGAAAGAGAGAAAGAAAGAGGGAAGGAAGGAAGGAAGGGAGGGAGGGAAGGGGGAGGGGAGGAAGGGAGGGAAGGAAGGAGCCAGGCGTGGTGGCTCACACCTGTAATACTAGCACTTTGGGAGGCCGAGGCAGGTGGATTGCCTGGGCTTAGGAGTTCAAGACCAGCCTTGGTCATATGGTGAAACCCCATCTCTACTAAAATAAAAAAAAATTAGCCAGGCATGACAGTGTGCACTTATAGTCCAGGCTACTTGGGAGGCTGAGGTGGGAGAATTGTTTGAACCTGGGAGGCTGAGGTTGCAGTAAGCTGAGATTGCACCACTGCACTCTAGCCTGGGTTACAGAGCGAGATTGTCTCCAAAAAAATAAAAAAATAGGCCGGGCACAGCGGCTCAAGCCTGTAATCCCAGCACTTTGGGAGGCCAAGGCGGGTGGATCACGAGGTCAAGTGATCGAGACCATCCTGGTCAACATGGTGAAATCCCGTCTCTACTAAAAATACAAAAAAATTAGCTGGACATGGTGGCACGTGCCTGTAATCCCAGCTACTCAGGAGGCTGAGGCAGGAGAATTGCCTGAACCCAGGAGGCGGAGGTTGAGGTGAGCCGAGATCGCGCCATTGCACTCCAGCCTGGGTAACAAGAGTGAAACTCTGTCTCAAAAAAAAAAAAAATAAATAAAAAATAATAAATAATAAATGATAGTCTCATTTATGAAATTCAGTTTAGACTTTAGTTTAACAATAAATTTACTCATACCTGCTATGTACTATATACCACAGAGAAAAACCGTGGTTACTATTCTCATAGACAAGTTACATAAAACTCTAAAGTGTTTACAATTTAATTAGAACCTAACTAGAATTCTGACCTAATTACAAGTAATTCTGAAATTCTGTATTAGAAAAAGACCAATCAGCCGGGCGCGGTGGCTCAAGCCTGTAATCCCAGTACTTTGGGAGGCCGAGGCGGGTGGATCACGAGGTCGAGAGATCGAGACCATCCTGGTCAACATGGTGAAACCCCGTCTCTACTAAAAATACAAAAAACTAGCTGGGCGTGGTGGCGCATGCCTGTAATCCCAGCTACTCAGGAGGCTGAGGCAGGAGAATTGCCTGAACCCAGGAGGCGGAGGTTGCGGTGAGCCGAGATCACGCCATTGCACTCCAGCCTGGGTAACAAGAGCGAAACTCCGTCTCAAAAAAAAAAAAAAAAAAAAAGAAAAAGACCAATCAAAGAAAACAAAGTCACAGAGTTTGCTGTTTTATAACCACAAAAAAATAAAATTCAGGAATATGCTCTCTATATTCTGCCTAAGCAACTCTATCTTTTGGAAGCACAGCAAATACGATATCAGAGATGGCTGCTGTTTCTCAAGGAAATCATTCTCAGGTCCTCCCTTGCCTGCTTCAATCTGTTCTTTCTGCCATGACCATAATTAACTCTCCAAAGCAGATCTAACCATTCCACTGCCAGGCTTACTAAAAGTCATGTCTCTTTTTTTTTTTTTTTTTGAGATGGAGTTTCGCTCTTGTTACCCAGACTGGAGTGCAATGGCACGATCTCGGCTCACCGCAACCTCCGCCTCCTGGGTTCAGGCAATTCTCCTGCCTCAGCCTCCTGAGTAGCTGGGATTACAGGCATGCACCACCATGCCCAGCTAATTTTTTGTATTTTTAGTAGAGACGGGGTTTCACCATGTTGACCAGGTTGGTCTCGATCTCTCGACCTCGTGATCCACCCACCTCGGCCTCCCAAAGTGCTGGGATTACAGGCTTGAGCCACCGCGCCCGGCCCAAAAGTCATGTCTCTTAACTGCCTCAAGGATAAGTCTAAATTTTTCAGCATGACATTCCAGGTCCGTCAGAATTTGGCCTTATTTTATTTTCTAGTTTCAAGGCTACAAATTCCTTGGTTCATGTTACTTTTTTAGCCTGGAATAATATACATTTCTTTTCCAAACAAGTTTCTAATCATCCTTCAAAGCCCAGATCAAGGGACTGGTATGATAACTTCTTCGATTTTTGTAGGCAGAATTGTTTGATTGTTCCTGCTTTTTTACTCTTCTTTGTATCTTGTGTGTGTCCATGGGTATGTGTGTGCATGTAACTACAACTTAATAGTACAGAATAATAACATAATAGCTAACTTTAAAATTTTACTATGTTTCAAGCATTATACATAATCTCATTTAATTCTCCTAAGTAGAAGGTGAGAACTATTTTTCTCACCTAATTTCCAGTTTTAGTAACTTGCTCAGGGTCACAAAGCTAACACACAGCAGAGCTAGCATTTGGGTTCAGGTACTCTAATTCCTGAGTCTGCTTTCTTAATTTCTATATTGCTGTTATTTCTTCCTTAACTTAGAATATGCTTAAAAACTTTATGAAATTCTCTAAAATGGAAAAACAGAATATTGGGAACTCAGGTTCGGTTGATCATTGCTTTCAGGTATGAAGTTACCATTTAAATCCATACAAACATCCAAAATAATATATGATCTAAACTGTAATTAGATATCATTCTAATGTTACACTGAGTCAACAGTCCACTTATTAAAAAAATAAATTTGTGTTTTAAAAGCCGTATTAAAACTTCAGCTAAGAAAAACAGTACAGTACCAAGACATTCATTGACAGTCTTCTTTCAGAAATTTTTTTTTTTTTTTTTTTTTTTTTTTTTTTTGAGACGGAGTTTCGCCCTTGTTACCCAGGCTGGAGTGCAATGACGCGATCTCGGCTCACCGCAACCTCCGCCTCCCGGGGTCAGGCAATTCTCCTGCCTCAGCCTCCTGAGTAGCTGGGATTACAGGCACGCGCCACCATGCCCAGCTAATTTTTTGCACTTTTAGTAGAGACGGGGTTTCACCATGTTGACCAGGATGGTCTCGATCTCTCGACCTCGTGATCCACCCGCCTCGGCCTCCCAAAGTGCTGGGATTACAGGCTTGAGCCACCGTGCCCGGCCCGCCAACTAACATTCTTTTAAAAATACTGTTCTCAATTAAATTTCTGAAAGAAGGCGCCGGGCGCGGTGGCTCAAGCCTGTAATCCCAGCACTTTGGGAGGCCGAGGCGGGTGGATCACGAGGTCGAGAGATTGAGACCATCCTGTTCAACATGGTGAAACCCCATCTCTACTGAAAGAAAATACAAAAAATTAGCTGGGCATGGTGGCGTGTGCCTGTAACCCCAGCTACTCAGGAGGCTGAGGCAGGAGAATTGCCTGAACCCAGGAGGCGGAGGTTGCGGTGAGCCGAGATCGCGCCATTGCATTCCAGCCTGGGTAACAAGAGCAAAACTGTTTCAAAAAAAAAAAAAAAGAATATTAGTTGGCTGTGGTGGTGTACGCCTGTAATCCCAGTTACTCGGGGGCATAGGCAGGAGAATTGCTTGAACCTAGGTAGCGGAGGTTATAGTGAGGCGAGATTGGGCCACTGTACTCCAGCCTGGGTGAATTAAAAGAATGTTAGCTGGCCATGGTGGCGCACGCTTGTAATCCTAGCTACTCAGGAGGCTGAGGTAGGAGAATCACTTGAACCCAGGAAGCAGAGGTTGCAGTGAGCTGACACTGCACCACTGTACTCCAGCCTGGGTGAAGCATTACACATTGGTCCCCTGATACTTTGTGGAAAATTATGTATTTTTCCTAGAAATATATCAATACTGTTCATAAAACAAAACTTAATATTTTAATTTTGCATCTCCTCTTAGTTGGATGTATTAATTATACAGGTTTTTTAAAATGGAAGTTAATTAACTCTTCTAAAATTCTTTGGACTTTTCTAGCTACATAGAAGCATATGTATACTTGCAGACTATGCTAAAATACAAACTGCTGGAAAACAGATCCAAATGTAGAATTCAAAATGTCTTACATTTTCATTTCTCTTGAGAAGATCATCATCATTGTAAAGAGGCAAACTTGTCACCATCCATCCAGTGCACAATTTAATTGCACCCATTAACTGTGGACTCCCGGCAAACACAGCTGCAACTGGAGCTTGCCTTCTGCAAAGAATCATAAAGATTTACACACTGAAAAGGTAAGTATACTATTTAGATCATTGATCTTTATCAACTCTGAAATACCAGACAACTTACAATGTTTATACATTTAAATTTCAATGCCAGTTTTCACTTCATTTATGGATTCATTTAAAAAAATTGGGCACTTAACTATGCCCCAGGCACTTGTACTGAAAATACAGAAACTTTTCTAAAAAGAGGGAGCAGGGGGAAGACAATAAGCAGTAAACATATATATTGGGTGATAATATGATGATTAAAAATACTGAAGAGTAAGGGGATAGAAACAAGAATATATTATTTTAGATAAGGTAGCTAGTTCTTTTTTTTAAATTTAATTTAATTTATTTTTTTAATTAAGATGGGGGTTTCACCATGTTGGCCAGGCTGGTCTTGAACTCCCAACCTCAGGTGACCCACCCACTTTGCCCTCCAAAGTGCTTGGATTACAGGTGTGAGCCACCATGCCCGGACAGGTGGCTAGTTCAGTGGTGACACTATGAATTCTCGACTCCATCTTTTGCAAATATTAACCACCTAGAACCCAACTCCTTCCAAATCCATCTTTCCTCCCACTCCTTCTCTGTCTTTACCCATATGTCTGTCTCCAGACATAACATGTAGGACTTCTCTACTCTGAATCATTATTCAAAGTCCCAGACAGATGCTATTTGCAAGGCAGGAAACCTAAAAGCAGGTCCCAAAGGGTTGATCTAATATATTCACTTATTTATTCACTGTCCGCATTTAACATTATGCTCCCACCTCTATGTGCTAGAGATAGTGCCAGGCTATCGAAATAAAGAGATGGCATATGGCCACTCTCCTCAATAGTGAGGAAACAGATACAAAACACAGTAATTATATGACAGTAACGCACATGTTCAGTATGTAATTGTTTGGGCCTTTGCTATCCTTGAAAATATATGGCAAATCATACAGAGATGCAACTTCCTCTTTTGTTAAGGACAACACAAGGCAGTGTTCCACAATAGCAAACAGAATTCACAAAAAGTATTAGTGGGCAATAGTTAAGGTTGATCTAAAGAAAACTATTTTTATAAAATAGAAGGTATGTTATAGTAACAAGACATTATACTAAACCTATTCTTATTTTTCTTTTTTTTTTTTGAGACGGAGTTTCACTCTTGTTACCCAGCCTGGAGTGCAATGGCGCGATCTCGGCTCACCGCAACCTCCACCTCCTGGGTTCAAGCAATTCTCCTGCCTCAGCCTCCTGAGTAGCTGGGACTACATGGGTGCGCCATCATGCCCAGCTAATTTTTGTATTTTTAGTAGAGACGGGGTTTCACCTTCTTGACCAGGATGGTCTGGATCTCTTGACCTCATGATCCACCCACCTCAGCCTCCCAAAGTACTGGGATTATAGGCGTGAGCCACCGCGCCCGGCCCAACCTATTCTTATTTCTATAAACCTATTTTAAATTTCTAGAAACACTTTTTGTCTTTTTTTCCCATATTTTTCTGGTCTTTTTTGATAGTATTTCAACACTTTTTCATGTTTTCTTGTCTTCTTTTATGTCTTTAATAAATTTCAATGTAGTTATTTCATAGTATCCATCCATGGAACAGACTGGTTACAAAAATAGCCACAATGATTCCTCTCCCTATGGTCATGTTCTTGGAGGGAACTGGTCTTAATCATGTGACTTGCTTTGGCCAATAGGACAACAGTAAGCACTGTATAAGCAGTGACTTAAAACATGCTTGACACTGAGATTTGCCCTCTCTTGCTGCTCTTGGGAATTCTATGAATACCACCTTGTGAACAAGCCCAAGGTAACCTGCTAGATGGTAAGACACAGAGGCCCAAGTCAGTTTGATCCCCCCAGCTGACACTTAGCCAACCCTAGACTTGTGACAGAGGCCATGCCAGAGTATCCAGTCCCAGTGGAACTGGCTCAGACCCAAAGATTCCTCCCCAGCACCCCAACTCTGCTAATTCTCAAGATGATGTGGAATAACAAATGCTTATTGTTTGTAAGCCACAAAGTTTTGTGGCACTCTGTTACATAGCAAATTCTAAACAACACAAATTTTATTATCAGAAATAGCTAGAGGTCTGCTTCTGCTGTTTATCACAAGATGTACTGAACTGTTTATGTGTTTTAAAATTTCAGAGCTTACCTGCATGAAACTTTACTTATGGAATCCTGCATAACATGGGTTGAGGCTGTGTCAACCATTCCAGACCAACCCCAAACTACTTTTAATGCTAATTTCTTAATTGGAGGTTTCTTAGACAAATATAATTTCAAATTACATTAGACAAGTATAATTTAAAACTATAAACCTACATGAATTCAGATCCATTGCTATAAATTGAGAAGGGAGATTTTTTTTTGACCAAGAGATGAAGGTAAGAGAGACATGCTTTCTTATCTTCTTTCCCTACCACTGGGTATTTTACTATTCCACCCTTTCACTAATGTGGTATTTTGCTATTCTATCCTTTCACTGCCAGTGTAGCTTTTTGAGGGTCCCTCAGTTACATATGTGTGTGTTGGGGGAGTTCTCAATTCCAATTCCCTGCTTCCATAAGCCTAAGATCACATCTCCTATCCTGTGTGGGCATTAAAATCTAAAACCCCTGGTTATCAAGACTAGTAATCCATTGCTAATTCACCTCTAACACAGGGCAAAATAAGCATCCTCTTGACTACCTAAATAAAAAGATAAGTGTTCTTTTTTATCCCATATTTCTAAGTGTTTGACAATGGGAGTTTCAAATCTCATATTGATCAATTCTACATTTTCAAGCCCATGGAGATGAGCAGAAAATTAGAATCACAAAGTCCAACCAAAACCTAAATATCCCAAAAACTCCTGAGTTTTATGAGAAAAATTTGGTATTAATTTATTATTAAAGTATTAATTTATTATTTCCCCTGATTTCAGTAGATAGCATGCAGTGATTAACAGCTTAACAACAGTCTTGGGCACTTCAATCCTTACTTTATCCAGGTCATAAGTTCCACTGTGTCTGGGTCATAGAATTCCTGTAGTTCCATTAATTCTGTCATTAATCTTGGGAAAAACTAAAATTCAAAAAAAAAAAAAAAAAAAAAATCCCCAAAAGGTGTATGTCAGTAATTAGAAAGTTTAAAACTGTTCCACAGTATTTCAAAAGACTAATCGACTAACTTAAGGCAAATGATATTACAACATTGTTCACATGGAAAAAATGTCATGATGGATCTCTTTGCTTTCCTTCAATAGCCTGCTTATTTTTCTCAATCCAAATCATCTATTTTATGGTTAATTCACTGTTTTGACTCAATAAATAATTTTATCCTTATCAAACAATGATAAGTTGATCATCAATTGTATCAGGCACACACATACTAAATACATACATACATACATACATAGATTTTCAGGTCCAATAATTTGCAAAATTTAGATCATTTTGCAGATGATAAAGTTTTAGTGACTAAAACTTTAGTCACTAAAACTTTACTAATACCAAAATATTAATTCCTATTTACTCAGCAATTTCCTTTGCCAATTATAGATTGAATTAACACTAGCATTAGACTACAGAAAATTACATCAGGTGGCATTCTAGAAATGTTTTACCTCTACTACAATGTTCTCAATGACAAAAAAATTAAGCATTACTAAGAATATTACATTTTATTTTGTTACGATAGTGCCTCAACATGTTTTCTACCCACACATATAAATTTATCACTACCTTTGTAGATAATATACATTTTGTTAATATAAAAGTCTAACTTTTTTTTACCTCTTTCCATAAGCTGAGACCTATTATAGTGGGCACAGCCATGCTCAGAATAAGAGCCTAAAATATTAAAGCAAAAAGGATTACAGATAAATACATGTCAGAATACACACTGACTCTATGACCAATCATATATCTCTACAGTTATACAAATTTCAAAGAAACTGAAGTGAACATGGAACCTAGTTCACAGAATGAGTTGGGTGAAAACTAAAGAGTTCCAAAGATATTAAGTTGGAAGTAAAGTGAGACATAAACATTACTATAAAAATTTAAGGCAGAACATTAAAAAGGTAATGCTAATAATATTTCAACTAGCAAGTCAATATTTGAAAAATTTGCCAGAAATTTATGTTATACAGATCTTACAAAGGATAGCACATTACCACATGAAAAGCTAACAACAAAAAAGACAATGAATTAACACAAGAAAAATAGCTAATATACATCAGTCCACTAGTCTTTTAAAATAAGAATGCATAAATTCTCCTTGAAATAAGATTGGCAAAACACAACATGACTATTATTAAAGATAATGTATCATCTTCCTGCTATAATAAAACCTGTTCTTCCTATTGTCCCATGTCTTTTAGTGACCCTATGATCCAGTCATACCAACCAAAAACCTAGGAAACATCCAAGGTATCTCCCTCTTCCTCATTTGCCCATACTTAATCAATCCGTGAGACTTACTGATATTCTAACTACTTTTATTCATTCCAATCTGGCATAGTATTAATCGAATGGGCTTTGAACTCAGAAAAACCTGGGTGTGGCTGGGTATGGTCGTTCACACCTATAATCCCAGAATTTAAGGGGTCAAGGTGGGAGGATTGCTTGAGTCCAGGAGTTTGAGACCAGATTGGGCAATATAGTGAGACCCTGTCTCTAAAAAAAATAACTAAAGCAAAATTAAATTAGGCATGGTGGGTATGCCTGAAGTCCCAACTACTTGGGAGGATGCGGCAGGAGGATTGCTTAAGGCCAGTTGTTTAAGTCTGCAGTGAACCATGACTGTGCCACTGCACTCCAGCCTGGGAGAAACAGTGAGACCCTGTCTCAAAAAAAAGAGAAAAGAAAATCTTGGCCATGAATCCTGGTTTCCATACTTATAAGCTCGATAATCTCAAGCAAGTTATTTAACCAATTAAAGCCTTGGTTTCTTTTTATAAAACAGAAAATCTAGGGTTGAATAGCATGTGAAATGCTTCAAATAGTACCTGACACAGTGAGCATTCAATAAATTGAAGCTTCAATTACTTCTATCCACTCTGGCCTCCTCTGTGACTGAAGTCTGTTTCCCGTAGGACTATCCTTCACAGAATTGTAAGAGTGAGCAAATAAAAAATGAAAGTCTGACTCTCTCACTTTCCACGAGGCATACATGTCCCAACACCTTCCCGGTGCCGACAGCATGAGAGGCAGGTCTGCAGCATGACACTCAGGGCCTCCATGGCCTCACCTTCCTTCACTTCTCCAGTCTCATTTCTTGACCACCCCTACCTACCTCACACTTTATGCGCCAAGAAAACGAAATATATTGTGCTTTTTTCCCCCAGTCCCTTTGATTACATCATATTTTTTGCCTACCTCTGTGGCTATTCCTGCTACCATGAATACCCTTTCTTTCACCTTTATTTACTTAATAACGAAATATCTTTTCAATCTCAGATTGGAAAGCCTTATTTCAATACCCCCAACAACAAGAACAAAAAGAATTAAGTAGCCCTTCTCTATGTTCTAATAGCACCCTATGAAAACTTCTTTTTGTTTTTTAGGAGACAGGACAGGAACAGAAGGAAGAGCAGGCAAGCTGGATAAAGTGGAAGGGGAGGGAGCAGCAGAGAGAGGGCCAAATTCTTATTATCTGTTTTTAGGCCCAGAGATTATAATCCACTTGATGAAATTAACTATGCTATAATTATCTTTGTATTCCAAACACCTAGCAGGCGGAATATTCCATTCACATAGAAAATATACCATTGTTCTAAATCAAACCAAGAAAGATTATAAAAATTAATTCTTGATGATCTCCCACATTACTGATTCACTTATATTTTTACCTTCGTTAAGTTGTATGCATTGAAATGCATTACTTTGATAATCATAATTTTTTTTTTTTTTTTTTAGACAGAGCCTTGCTCTGTTGCCCAGGCTGGATTGTACTGGTATGATTTCAGCTCACTGCAACCTCCGACTCTTGGGTTCAAGTGATTCTTGATTCTCAGCCTCTTGCATAGCTGAGACTACAGGCATGTACCACTACACCCAGCAATTTTTTTTTTTTTTTTTAATATTTTAAGTAGAGACAGGGTTTTATCATGTTGGTCAGGCTGGTCTCAAACTCCTGGCCTCAAGTGATCCACCCACTTCTGTCTCCCAAAGTGCTGGGATTACAGGCGTGAGCCACTGTGCCCCGCCCAGAAATTATTTTTAAAAATGTTTTGCACAGGATCAGTTTTTCCTCCTGTAAGTCATAATGTAATTTATTCATGTTATTTTAATAGTTTTAATGTAGTTTTCATTTATTACCATTTGATTTTATATAATTAGAAGAGAAAAAAATACTTAACACAAAATAATAACTCACCAACAATATTGGGTGTACAGTTCTTAATCGAAGCCACTTGAAAAGTGTCATCCAAAGTTCAGGAGAACATACACCAAATGCTGCTAACATGCACACATAAGGAATCCAGATGTACTTCAAGCTAGAAAACACAAAAGGAGTCATATATGAGACATCCTGTGAATATCATTATGACCTAATTTTTCTTCTCTGAGCTTTCCTACCACCCACAAAAATACCAAAATGTTAAGGAACAATAAAAAAGCTTAGCCTCTGATTTTCAGCAACAGATTGTTATCCGGTTTTTTTTAAAATCAAGGAGACTTGGGAACAAATGAGGATAAAATAAAAGCATTAATACTGATGAGGAGGCAGCAAAATTGTATTCTTGGAGAGAGGATAAGCTATTAGAGCATTTCAGAAGGCAATTTGGTGGACTGGGAGCGCCTGTAATCCTAACACTTTGGGAGGTGGAGGCAGGTAGATCACTTGAAGCCAGGCGTTTGGGACCAGCTGGGCAATACAGTGAAACCAACACTACAAAAATTAGCCAGGCATAGTGACACATGCCTGTGGTCCCAGCTACTTGGGAGGCTGAGGCAGGAGGATCACCTAAGCCTGGAAGGCAGAAGTTGCAGTGAGCCAAGATCGCACCACTGTACTCCAGGGCTTGGGCGACAGAGCAAGACTCTCTCTCTCTTTTTTTTTTTTTTTTGAGACGGAGTTTCGCTCTTGTTACCCAGGCTGGAGTGCAATGGCGCGATCTCGGCTCACTGCAACCTCCGCCTCCTGGGTTCAGGCAATTCTCCTGCCTCAACCTCCCGAGTAGCTGGGATTACAGGCACGCCCCACCATGCCCAGCTAATTTTTTGTATTTTTAGTAGAGACGGGGTTTCACTATGTTGACCAGGATGGTCTCGATCTCTTGACCTCGTGATCCACCTGTCTCGGCCTCCCAAAGTGCTGGGATTACAGGCTTGAGCCACCGCACCCGGCAATATCTGTATTTTTAGTAGAGATGGGGTTTCACCATGTTGGCCAGGTTGGTCGCAAACTCCTGACCTTAAGTGATCCACCCACCACAGCCTCCCAAAGTGCTGGGATTACAGGCATGGGCCACCATGCCTGGCCACACACAAGGGTTTTAACTACAGCATTTTGTTTTAATACCAAGAAAATTAAAAAAAAAAATTTTGTGTTCTTCAATAGGTATTCATTACATAATTATTGAAAAACAAAAAAGCAAAATGCAAAACTTCATCTCCAGTGTTACCCTAATTTTTGCTTTTTATTTTTTTAAATGTAGATATATGGCACAAGGAAAAATAACACCTGAGGCTGGCTGCAGTGGCTCACGCCTGTAATCTCAGCACTTTGGGAGGCTAAGATGGGCAGATCACTTAAGTTAGGAGTTTGAGACCGGCCTGGCCAATAAGGTGAAACCCTGTCTACACTAAAAATACAAAAATTTGGTGTGGTGGCTCTCGCCTGTAAACCCAGCACTTTGGGAGGCCGAGGTGGGTGCATCACCTGAGGTCAGGAGTTTGAGACCAGCCTGGCCAACATGGCAAAACCCAATCTCTACTAAAAATGTAAAAAAATTAGCCAGTTGTGGTGGTGCATGCCAGTAATCCCAGTCACTCGGGAGAGACTGAGGCAGGGGGATTGCTTGAACCCCAGGAGGTGGAGGTTGCAGTGAGCTCAGAACATGACACTGCATTTCAGCCTGGGCAACAGCGTGAGGCTCCATCTCAAACAAACAACAAAACAAAAAACAAAATATGGAAAGATACTGCTAACAGTAGTAGTCTCTGAGGAGTAGAAAGGTAGAATGGAGCGATTTTTATTTTTTACTTCTATTTCTCTATTATTAGGGATTGTTATACTCTGCATATAGTACTTTTAAGATTTTTTAAAAATAAAAATTTAAAAATTGAGCTTTTAAATTAAAAGGATTAGAAATCCAGGTGTACAGAAAAAATTAACTTGTATTATTAGAAGAAAATACATTACTTTATGTTGTAGATTATAAAGAAAACAAAAGGAGCCCATCTCTGTAGGAGATGCTAACTGCTAAAAATGGAAAAGAAAAGAGTTTAGAAAAATTAATAGATATCAGTGCTTAGTAAAGATTATCAAGTAAAAATAACATTTCAAGGGACAACTTTTGTAATGAATACTAAGGAGAACAACCAGACTCTTTCATGATATATTCCCTGGTGTCAAACTTAGAAGAGACTGGAAGAATCTGGGGCCAGAGCATAAATGTAAACCACTGTGGTTTTATAAAACAGCAAAAGACCCAAGTTTGCCTGGGTGGGAGCCTTGGGCCATGTGGGATCAGTTCAACCTCTGAAGGGCTGAAGACTAAGGTCAGCCACACAGGTGGTCAATCATGTATATATGACTGAGCCCCAATACAAACCCTAAACACAAAGCATGGGTGAGCTTCCCTGATTGACAGTACTCCGTGTGTACTGTCACACATCGTTCCTGAGAGAAAATCAGGATTCCACTGGGAGAGAACAAATGGTAGTTCTGTGCTTTGGTATTTCCTGGACCTTGTCCTATGGGTGTCTTTGCTCTGCTAATTTTAATATGTATCCTTTCACTGTAACAAACTGTAACTTGACTATAGTAATTTTTCTTCCTATTTCCCCCACAAATAAGACTTTTTATTTGCTACTATTCTAAGTCTGAACTTTAAACAGATTATTGGACTGGTGGTTCATATCCATCAGCTCATTCAACTTTAGCACCTGTCTCGTCCCCAGTGGCTTTTCCAGAACTACTGCCTTCACCATGAAGTTCCATGAGTTTTCCCAATTCAAACTTGGGCTTCTTCAGCATTTTTACTTTTCTAACGAAGACATCATGGAGAGGATAAATAGATTGGCAAGCCTTTTCTATGTCTTTTCTAATGCTGTCTGGAATCAATATATTGACCACTTCTTTCAAGTCATTTGTCTGCACCTCTAGGGTCATGATTTCCACCATCTTCTTCCAGATTTGGCGGACCTGTTGGTGCTGAGCATAAGAGGTCTTCCCTAACTGATTGTTGCATTTTTTAGTAAAACCAACACAGAACAGACGAAGTAAGTAACCATTGGTAGTCTTGACATCAACATGAGCTTCAATCATTGTCTGCCATTTTTTGACCATGGAACACAGTCTGTCACGGGTAAGATCCATGCCATGGAAGTTAATCAGGCAGTTTTTGCCCTGAACATCTTGGGTAATCAGCTTGAATTTCTTAAATGCAACTTCATCATTCTGCAAATCAAAAAGACTAACTTCAGACACTCGACCCTTGAGGCCATCAGATGCAATTTTGGTTCCTTGGGTCCTGGTGACTAGTGTCTTTCCAATATTTTTTACATTGAACATAGCAGGTGCTTTCACATCATACCAATCTTTCTTAGAAAATGGATCAACCACTTTCTTCTTCACTTCCTTTTTGCCGCCTTTTGTAAGGCGCTTGTTCTTGCCAACTGCCATGGTGCTGCTCAGAGAGCCAAAAGGCGACTATAGTAACCTTCCTAAGTTCTGTGAGTCCTTGTTAGTTATTGAGCCTGAGGTGGTTTGGGGGACTCCTAAACTTGCAGTTGGTGACAGAAGTAAGGATGGTCTCAGGAATTTCTGAAAACTGCATTTACCCACCTAGACTGTGTGCTTCTGAGGGAGGGGGATCCTATCATACATTTTTTTTTTTTTTTTTTTTTTTGAGACGGAGTTTCGCCCTTGTTACCCAGGCTGGAGTGCAATGGCGCGATCTCGGCTCACCACAACCTCCGCCTCCCGGGTTCAGGCAATTCTCCTGCCCCAGCCTCCTGAGTAGCTGGGATTACAGGCACACGCCACCATGCCCAGCTCATTTTTTGTATTTTTAGTAGAGACGGGGTTTCACCATGTTGACCAGGATGGTCTCGATCTCTTGACCTCGTGATCCACCCGCCTCGGGTTCCCAAAGTGCTGGGATTACAGGCTTGAGCCACCACGCCCGGCCTATCATACATATTTTTATATTTCCCACTATTACTAAAAGAGTATGAAGAAACTAGGCTGGGTGTGGTGGCTCACTGGTGGCCTGTAATCCCAGCACTTTGGGAGGCTGAGGCAGGTGGATCACAAGGTCAGGAGTTCGAGATCAGCCTGGCCAATATGGTAAAACCCCATCTCTACTAAAAAATACAAAAATTAGCCGGGCGTGGTAGTGTGTGCCTGTAGTCCCAGCTACTTGGGAGGCTGAGGCAGGAGAATCGTTGGAACCTGGGAGGCAGACGTTGCAGTGACACGAGATCACACTAATGTACTCCAGCCTGGTGACAGAGTGAGCCTGCATCTCAAAAAGAAAAAAACCAAAAAAGTGTATGAAAAAACTAAAACCTTCTGCTGAGTTGATGCATTTTAATAAAGTTTATTAACAAGAGGGAATGATTTTCTATAGAAGCAGGAAGTTTAAAAACTAAAGACTTAAAAATAAATAGTGCAAGATGTTTGAAGGTTAAAACTCCCTAAACAATTATTACACAACTTATCATTTGCCATTGAAAGACAATAAAAGAAACGAAGTAAAGGATAAAAGGGAAAACTCCAAAGGCCTCAACAAAGTCTACCACACGCTCACTGTGCTTCAGCCATACTGAGCTCCTCTTCCTCCCACCAACGATGCGCCATGATCCTTCCTGGGCATAAGTTATTCCCTCTACCTGCAGTCCTCTTGCCTCTTTTTTCACCTCGTCCACTCCTACTTACCCTTCAGGTCTCAGGTACTTTTTCCTTCGAGAACCTTTCTGACCTCTTTAAGTCAAATTCTGTTTTCTATGTTCTCACAGCACCATGTACCTCTCCTTCACTTACCAAAGTTGTAATTTTATTTTTGTATGATTAACATCTGTGACTTCCATTAGGCCATAAGTTAAATAAGGTTAGAGACTGTATGTTCTATTATTGCTTACCAAGGTACCTTCAGCACCTAGCATAATACCTAGAACTTGGAATACATTCAATAGTTGTTTGTTTTTTTTAATTTTTTTTTTTTTTTTTTTAAAGACAGGGTTTCACCATATTGGTCAGGCTGGTCTTGAACTCCCAACCTCAGGTGATCTGCCCACCTTGGCCTCCAAAGTGCTTGGATTACAGGTCTGAACCACTGTGCCCGGCCAATAGTTTTTTTTTAACAAATGAATGAAGAAGTAAATGTCAGTTCATTGTACTATAAACACCTTGTAAACTCCAGATAAATTAAGAAAGTATAAGTATATAGGTTTTGAGTTTTTATAAAGTTTTAAAATATATTCTTGGATTTATCTACTTATTACCATTAAAAAGAACAATCTTTGTTTTCTTTTGGCCTTTTTTTTTTTTTTTGAGACAGGGTCTTGCCCTGTTGCTCAGGCTAGAGTACAGAGGCACAATTTCAGCTCATTGCAACCTTGACCTCCCAGGTTCAAGAGCTGCTGCCACCTCAGCCTCCCCAGTACCTGGGACCACAGATGCATGGCACCACACCCAGCTAATTTTTGTATTTTTAGAAGAGATGAAATCTCACCATGTTGGTCACGCTGGTCTCAAACTCCTGACCTCAGGCGATCCACCTGCTTTAGCCTCCCAAAATGCTGGGATTAGAGGTGTAAGCTACCTCGCCTGGCCGACAATCTTTGTAAAAACAAAGGGATCAAATAAAGAACACTTACCCTTCTATAACCATTGCAAGAGAACCCAATAAAATAGTGTGAATTACATGATAAATTATTTCTGGTCTTTCTCCAATTCGTCCATCTTCAAGAGTAACAGTTTCCTTCAGGGACTTACCACTACAAAAAGAAAATCTATTTTTTAATACATTGAAAATATATTTTTGAAAAACCAAAGATACATTGTTTATCATCTTTGAAGGACATACCTAAAGTTTTATATTTCATCATAACAAAAAATATAAGTGATCCTTAAAATTTGAAAGTATGTTCTGGTAGTTAAATACCTATCATATATCTCTTAAGTTGCTGCAAATGGCTTTTAGAACCTGAAGACAACAAACTCTATAAAGACTAAACATGAGCCGGGCGCGGTGGCTCAAGCCTGTAATCCCAGCACTTTGGGAGGCCGAGGCGGGTGGATCACGAGGTCAAGAGATCGAGACCATCCTGGTCAACATGGTGAAACCCCGTCTCTACTAAAAATACAAAAAATTAGCTGGGCATGGTGGCGCGTGCCTGTAATCCCAGCTACTCAGGAGGCTGAGGCAGGAGAATTGCCTGAACCCAGGAGGCAGAGGTTGCAGTGAGCCGAGATCGCGCCATTGCACTCCAGCCTGGGTAATGAGAGCGAAACTCCGTCTCAAAAAAAAAAAAAAAAAAAAAAAAAAAAGACTAAACATGAATTTTCAGAATAATAATAAACGGCTAGGAGCAGTGACTCATGCCTGTAATCCCAGCACTTTGGGAGGACAAGGTGTGCGGATCACTTGAAGTCAGGAGTTAAAGACCAGCCTGGCCAACATGATGAAACCCCATCTGTACTAAAAATACAAAAATTAGCAGGGTGTAGTGGTGCATGCCTGTAGTCCCAGCTACTTTGGAGGCTGAGGCAGGAGAATCGCTTGAACCAGGGAAGCAGAGATTGCAGTGAGCCGAGATTGTGCCACTGCACTCTAGCCTAGCGACAGCGTAAGACTATCTCAAAAAAAAAAAAAAAAAAAAAAAAAAAAAATTTGTAGTTTCTTCTTCCAAGATCAATTATGACTCAACTAGCAATTGCTAATATAGTTAAATCATAATTTGAGTAACTAAATTCTCAAAATGAAACAATTATACACAACTTCTTTTCAAACATGATAAAAACATCAAAGGCCAGTCAAACTTTGTAGATTTTTCTTGCCCCCCCTTTTTTTTTTTAAAGAGATGGGTGTCTCACTATGTTGCCCAGGCTGGTCTTGAACTCCTGGCCTCAAGCAATCCTCCTGTGTCAGCCTCTCAAATTGGTGGAATTATAGGCATGAGCCACTGCACCTGGCCTCAAACTTTATAATTTGAAATTACTTATACTGCTAACTTCATTTAAGTTAAATAGAAGAAATTATTCTTATATTAAGTAAAAATCTGTATAAATTAGTCAATCAGTCTGTAAAACTTTAACTGATTATTTAAATATCAGTTATATATTAAGTCTCTATATTAAATCTGGACATTACCTATTTAGATGTATGATAACTAAGTTTAAATTTTTCTGGTTAACACATCTTTTTTTTTTTTTTTTTTTTTTTTTTGAGACGGAGTTTCGCTCCTGTTACCCAGGCTGGAGTGCAATGGCGCGATCTCGGCTCACCGCAACCTCCGCCCCCTGGGTTCAGGCAATTCTCCTGCCTCAGCCTCCTGAGTAGCTGGAATTACAGGCACGTGCCACCATGCCCAGCTAATTTTTTGTATTTTTAGTAGAGACGGGGTTTCACTATGTTGACCAGGATGGTCTCGATCTCTTGACCTCGTGATCCACCCGCCTCGGCCTCCCAAAGTGCTGGGATTACAGGCTTGAGCCACCGCACCCGGCCAACACATCTTTTTTTTCTTTTTTGAGATGGAGTCTTGCTCTGTCGCCCAGGCTGGAGTGCAGTGGCGCCACTGCAACCTCTGCATCCTGGGTTCAAGCAATTCTCCTCCCTCAGTCTCCTGAGGAGCTCGGATTACAGGCGTGTGCCACCACACCCAGCTAATTTTTGTATTTTTAGTAGAGACGGGGTTTCAACATATTGGCCAGGCTTGTCTCGAACTCCTGACTCGTGATCTGCCCGCCTTGGCCTCCCAAAGTGCTGGGATTACAGGCATGAGCCACTGCACCTGGTCAACACATCTTATAATGATACTTTCCATGTCAAAAAAAAAAAAAAAAAAAAGAGAATGGAATTAGAAGCTCTAAAACAAATATTAAAAAATTGAAAAAATATTAAAAATAAATATTTTATATATTTCCATAATGTATGTTAGGAATATGATTGATTCTCATAGTTACTTACTTAATTCTCCTAAAAATAACTTGCAACATAGAAAGTAAACAAATAATCAACACTAGAATATAGAAAGGTAATAAAGAAGACTGTGTCAATCGCAGAAAAAAATCTTGAGATGGTGCCTGCAGGGATTCTTGACAGAGGAGCCAATTCATTGTAAAATTCCTATAGAAGACAAAAAGCATGATATTAAATTCACAGACATTTTAAAGTTCTGAACACAGAAGTATTTTTTTAATATCAGTAAAAACTAAGAAAAAACACATTTCCTACACTCATTTACTTATAACAGCAAGGTACTATCCTTTATAAAATAAGCTAATAGCTGGGTGAGGTGGCTCATGCCTGTAATCTCAGCACTTTGGGAGGCCGAGGGGATCGTATCACGAGGTCAAGAGATCGAGACCATCCTGGCCAACATGATGAAACCCTGTCTCCACTAAAAATATAAAAATTAGCTGGACATGGTGGCATGTGCCTGTAGTCCCAGCTACTCGGGAGGCTGAGGCAGGAGAATTGCTTGAACCTGGGAGGCAGATGTTGCAGTGAGCCAAGATTGCACCGCTGCACTCCAGCCTAGTGACAGAGCGAGACTCTGTCTCAAATTAAAAAAAAAAAAAGATAATAGTATTGTATTAGTAAATGAAGCATGTGCTCTCACCAAAACTGCTCTAATAAATGTAAAACTGCTGCTTTTTATTAGCAAGTAATGTGACTATCTCTAAAGCCCAATATAGTTTTTACGGAATTTTCATTTCTATCTTTATCTAGAAGACAATAAACAATTCAGCCAGCTAACCTCTACAAATGCATTGTCGAATATGGTAGCTATTAGAGACATGCAGTTATTACACAGTTAAAATGCAGCCAATTCAAATTGAGACATACTTTACAATCTACCCAGGATTTCAAAGAAAAAGCAAAATAAGAATTTGAAAAACAAAACATCTTAATAATTTTTACACTGCTTACAAGTATTTTTATATATTAGAGAAAATACATTAAAATTAATTTCACTTGTTTCTTTGTATTTTTTTAAAATATGGCTACTAGAAAATTACAATTACCTAAGTGGTTCACATTATATTATTATTGGATAGACCTACTCTGTAATGGCCAATGTAACTCAACCAGGATCCATTTAAAAAAGAGATATCTACTTATTAAGATAAATCATAAAATTTGAAATGTGAACCTTTTGAGCAGCAATGAATCAGGATAAATATTTTTCCCACCCTAAGTATGATCTACAAGACTCCTGGTTGTATGTATGTTTCTCTGCATCCTCATTTCTCATCCATCTCCAAGCTCCAATCCTGAATCCCTAGCAGTGGGGAAGGATGTTAGAGATGGAGTGATGTTCAGAAATGCTCACTGATGGACTGAGAATGTCTACTTCAAATCACTGCGTTTACAACGAAATGTTAAGGTTTAACAATGTGGCAAACACATTCTATGTGTGTGTGTGTGTGTGTGTGTGTATGTGTTGTTTTTTTTTTTTTTTGAGACGTAGTTTCGCTCTTGTTACCCAGGCTGGAGTGCAATGGACCGATCTCGGCTCACCGCAACCTCCGCCTCCTGGGCTCAGGCAATTCTCCTGCCTCAGCCTCCTGAGTAGCTGGGATTACAGGCACGCACCACCATGCCCAGCTAGTTTTTTTGTATTTTTAGTAGAGACGGGGTTTCACCATGTTGACCAGGATGGTCTCGATCTCTTGACCTCATGATCCACCCGCCTCGGCCTCCCAAAGTGCTGGGATTACAGGCTTGAGCCACCGCGCCCGGCCCGTTTTTTTTTTAAGACAGGGACTCACTGTCGCCCAGGCTGGGGGTGCAGTGGCACGATCTTGGCTTACTACAGCCTCCACCTCCCACTCCCAGGCTCAGGTGGTCCTTTCACCTCAGCACCTGAATAGCTGGTACCACAGATGTGGATCACCACACCCAGCTAAATTTTGTTTGTTTGTTTGTTTTTGTAGAGATGGGGTTTTGCCACAACCCTGGCTGGCTTCAAACTCCTGGACTCAAGTGGTCACGATCCGCCGGGCACGGTGGCTCAAGCCTGTAATCCCAGCACTTTGGGAGGCTGAGGCGGGTGGATCACGAGGTCAAGAGATCAAGACCATCCTGGTCAACATGGTGAAACCCCGTCTCTACTAAAAATACAAAAAGTTAGCTGGGCATGGTGGTGCGTGCCTGTAATCCCAGCTACTCAGGAGGCTGAGGCAGGAGAATTGCCTGAACCCAGGAGGCGGAGGTTGTGGTGAGCCGAGATCACGCCATTGCACTCCAGCCTGGGTAACAAGAGCAAAAAAGCTCCGTCTCAAAAAAAAAAAAAAAAAAAGTGGTCATGATCCACCCACCTCAGCCTCCCAAAGTTCTGGGATTATAGATGTGAGCCACCATGCCCGGCCATTGAGTATTTTTTATCTTTATTGTCTAAGTCGTATAGATTTAAGTAAACTTACTTAATCTAAAACTTACTTAGTCATATTTAGTCCAAATTTTACTTCAAGGAATTTCAGCATGTGCCCATTTTCTTTGTGTGGGACAAACATCTAGAAGAGAAAAATACCAGTTAACAAAGAAATATTAGCTATGCTTAACTGCACATGCTTCTGCCAAACTAGAGACAGAAAACATAGCAAGACTACAAAACAAAAATATGAATAAATAATAAATGGTATGACTATGAAGCAAGGAGATTAACTAACATAAATCAATCACATGACCTTATACTGAAGCATAAACTACAACTACAAAGGGGTAGTAAAAACATTTCTTAGCTGGGCGCGGTGGCTCAAGCCTGTAATCCCAGCACTTTGAGAGGCTGAGTTAGGTGGATCACGAGGTCAAGAGATCAAGACCACCCTTGGTCAACATGGTGAAACCCCGTCTCTACTAAAAATACAAAAAATTAGCTGGGCATGGTGGCGCGTGCCTGTAATCCCAGCTACTCAGGAGGCTGAGGCAGGAGAATTGCCTGAACCCAGGAGGCGGAGGTTGCGGTGAGCCGAGATCGCGCCATTGCACTCCAGCGTGGGTAACAAGAGCGAAACTCCGTCTTAAAAAAAAAAAAAAAATTTCTTTTCTTTTTTTTTTTTTTTTTGAGATGGAGTTTCACTCTTGTTGCCCAGGGTGGAGTGCAATGGCAAGATATCCATTCACTGCAACCTCCACCTCCCAGGTTCAAGCGATTCTCCTGCCTCAGCCTCCCAAGTAGCTGAGATTACAGGCATGCGCCACTATGCCCAGCTAATTTTTTGTATTTTTAGTAGAGATGGGTTTCACCATGTTGGTCAGGCTGGTCTTGAACTCCTGACCTCAGGTGATCAAGAACGTTTCAACCTTATCCCACTAGGTTCAAGTAACTCTCCCACTTTTCTAAACATTTTTCATTTGTCTCACTTTATTCCATATATTGCTTAAGGTTAACTAGGTAATGATGAAATTTTTAACTTAATGAAAACTATGCATTCCCTTTTTCTCTTTGACTATATACAGAAAAGAATCAGAATCCTACTTTCTCACCCAATATGCTAGTTACCATTGTTAACTCAAAATTATACTGTTCAAACTCTATTACTGTGCTATCTCATTATTCTCATTAAAAGTTAGTCCAATATATTTCATTATTCATTTTGTTTTACTATATGAATCTCAGAGAGTTACTTACCTTCATTACAATATTCAATGTTATTGTCAGAGTACACACCAAGTAAAAATTAATCACTTTTATTATTTTAGCTACAAAACTTCCTTTCTTCACATTCAGCTGTGGAGAAAAAAATCATATGAACAAAAAAGTGAGGTGCTAACAAATTAACATTAAAAAGTAATCATAAGAATGGCTGAGCACGGCGGCTCAAGCCTGTAATCCCAGCACTTTAGGAGGCTGAGACAGGTGGATCACTTGAGGTCAGGAGTTCAAGACTAGCCTGGCCAATATGGTGAAGCCCCATCTCCACTAAAAATACAAAAACTAGCTGGGCGTAGTGACACATGCTTGTAATCCCAGCTACTTGGGAGGCTGAGACAGGAGAATCACTTGAACCCAGGAGGCAAAGGTTGCAGTAAGCTGAGATCACACCACTGCACTCCAGCCTAGGCAACAGAGCGAGACTCCATCTCAGGAAAAAAAAAAAAAAAAAAAAAATCAAAATAAGAACAATAAAAAGAAAATTCTAATTACCTGAAGGCACTTAGCAACCATTAAGGCTGCCACTAAACTTAATAAAGGAGATACCAACAAAGCCGGATTTTCAAACTGCAGTAAATATCCCAGAAAGAGAGAAAATACGTAGATTTTATAAACTTCATAAACCTGTCATGACAAAAATAAATGAGAATAAGTTATATTTTATCATACATGTTTTCATTTAGATTTAACTATAATTACACAGTAAATGCTCTACTATAATTTAGGAAAGTATTGTGCAAATGTTCAATTAATATTTTTAATGTTGGCTGGGTGTGATGACTCATGTCTGTAATCCCAGCACTTTGGGAGGCCAAGGTGGGTAGATCACTTGAAGTCAGGAGTTCTTGACCAGCTTGGCCAACATGGTAAAACCCCATCTCCACTTAAAAAAAAAAAAAAAAGTCGGCCGGGCGCAGTGCCTCAAGCCTGTAATACTAGCACTTTGGGAGGCCAAAGCGGGTGGATCACAAGGTCAAGAGATCGAGACCATCCTGGTCAACATGGTGAAACCCCATCTCTACTAAAGATACAAAAATTAGCTGGGCATGGTAGCGTGTGCCTGTAATCCCAGCTACTCAGGAGACTGAGGCAGGAGAATTGCCTGAACCCAGGAGGCGGAGGTTGCGGTGAGCCAAGATTGTGCCATTTCACTCCAGCCTGGGTAACAAGAGCGAAACTCCCGTCTTAAAAAAAAAAAAAAAAATTAGCTGGGCATGGTGGTAGGTGCCTGTAATCCCAGCTATTCAGGAGGCTGAGGCATGAGAATCACTTGAACTCACTTGGTAGGTGGAGGTTGCAGTGAGATAGGATTGCACTACTGCACTCCAGCCTGAGTGACAGAGCAAGACTCTGTCTCAGAAAATATATATACACACACACATATATATACATATATATATATACACACGAACATACATACATATACACATATGTATACATATACATACACAGACATAAATATGTATTTATTTTAATGTTATAGTGTATAATGAATTTATCACTGTTTTCTTAAAACTTTCTGGAAACAACATAAAGAGCTTTAAAATCATCAGTGTCTAAATCAGACTTGAAGAACCCTCTTAATTTCACTTAGTTTGCCCTATTATTAAAATTCATCTATGCAACCTCAAATTACATAAATCAAAAATCATAATTTTTAGCAGCAGCTCCCAAAACCTACCCAGTGAAAATATACTGCCATGAAAGGAACCATTGGAGAAAAGTATTGTTTTTGGTCTAACTAGTGAGCATAACAAAGTTAAATGCAATGTTTTAATAGAATATCTCCCAGAAAGTAGTTATATGCTAAAAAACAGGCCAGGCTCAGTCGCTCACATCTATTAATCCCAGCACATTGGGAGGCAGAGGCAGGAGGATGGCCTGAGCCCAGGAGTTTTAAACCAGCTTGGGCAACATGGCAAAACCCCATCTCTAGGAAAAACAGAAAAATCAGCCAGGGCTGGGTGAGGTGGCTCATGCCTATAATCCCAGCACTGTGGGAGGCCAAGGAGGATGGATCATTTGAGGCCAGGATGTCAAGACCAGCCTGGTCAATGTGGTAAAACCCCGTTTGTACTAAAAATCCAAAAAAAAATTACATGGTGGTGCATGCCTGTAATCCCAGCTACTCAGGAGGTTGAGGCAAGAAAATTGCATCACTGCACTCAGGCTGGGTGACAGCAAGACTGTATCTCAAAAAGAAGAAAGAAAGAAAAATCAGATGGGCATGGTAGCACTCACGTACTTGTAGTCCCAGGTACTAGGAGGCTGAGGTGGGAGGATCACTTAAGCCTGGGAGGTGAAAGTTGCAGTGAGCCATGATTGAGCCACTGCACTCCAGCCTGGGTGACAGAGCAGGACCCTGTCTCCAAAAAAGTAAAAATACATAAAAATAAAATGAAATTAAAAAAACAACAACAGCAGCAAAAAGGAAAAAAATAAAGTCACTAATAGCCAGAGCCACTTGAATAAAAGATACCTCACTCTTACAAGTCTACAAGTTAGAACAGTAGCTACCCTTGGGGGTTGAAGCAATGACTGGGAGAGACAGCATGATGGGGTCTTCTGGGAGTTGGTACTGACCTATTCTCTTTTTTTCTTTTGTTAGAGGTGGAGTGTGCTCACACTGGCCAAGTGATCCTTCCACTTCAGCCCCCACCTCATCTGGCTAATTTTTTGAATTTTTTGTAGAGATAGGGTCTCACTGTGTTGCCCAGGCTGGACTTGAATTCCTGGGCTCAAGCAAGCCTCCCGCTTTGGCCTCCCGAGTAGCTGGGCTCAAGCAATCCTCCTGCTTTGGCCTCCCAAGTAGCTGGGACTACAGGTGTGTGCCACCACAGCTAGCTTATGTTCTATTCTTGATTTGGGCTCTGATTCTATAGATGCATACCAGTTACTAAATAACTCTCTCAACTCCAAACTCCCCTTTCTGTGCCCTGCCTGGAAATGCTGGGCCTGGGACTCTGCAATCTGTATTTCTGCTTTTTCTGTTGGTTCCCTATGAAGCTCTGCCAATAGAAAATGCTAGAGGGAGCGTGCAAGTCTGGAGGAGGAAGGAGCCTGCTCCCTCCTCTTGCTTCCTGATGGTTTGAGGTTTCTGTGATTTCACCTTGGGGATGCTTCTTCACCCCAACATAGCAATTGCTTCCTATGGAAGCACTGAATGCAGCTGCAGTTTTTCCAACACTTGAAGAGCCAGCTTCATTACATCTTCTAGCCCAAGAAACCCAAGACCAGCTAGCCACAGCCACATCCTCAGAGGCCTGGGTCCTAATTCTGAAGGGCTTTACTTTTGAGCAAAGCTGGTATTTCTGAGTTCAAAAGTCTGAGTATCAGCTCTGTGAGGTCCCTAAGTTCTAATAGTTTCGTATTTTTCCCTAGCTAACTGCTTTCTGTAGCTGTGATTTCTATGAAACTTTCAGATTCTTATTATCCTTTCATTTAGCAAGTTAATGACTTTATACTTGGTTAACAATTTATGTTAACTTCTCTTTGTCCAAATAGCTTTTTTTTTAATTTTAATTTTTATTATTATTATTTTTTATTGCATTTTAGGTTTTGGGGTACATGTGAAGAACATGCAAGATTGTTGCATAGGTATACATGTGGCAGTGTGATTTGCTGCCTTCCTCCCCCTCACCCATATCTGGCATTTCTCCCTATGCCATCCCCTGCCAACTCCCCACCCCCCGCTGCCAAATAGCTTAAATGTTGGAACGCACAGGGGTTCTGAACCATATGAGTGTATGGATGAAGAAAAGAGGTTTTAAGATACAATGCTATAAATACATGTAACTGTGAATTTAAAATCATCATTTCAATATGCCATAATACCTTGTCACTTTGCTCCAGGGAGAAGATATCTAGCAGGAACAGAGACACTGCTTGAAGAAACAGGAGATAGTGGCTGTACTCCCACATCATCATAAATGTGTAGGTTGAAGCACTCATCAACAAGTAGCAAAACCTCTAGGGAAAACAAATGAAAGAAACTAAATATCAGTAGCTTTATTATTATAGAAGTCTATGAGACTGTTGCCTCAAAGTTGCAGCTCTGTTACTGGTTCAACTTTAAGTTATATAACTCTTGAAACTTTGTTTTTAAATCTCATAATTATTATTAAATCCTTACAAAAACAACAAGATTTCATATAAGGCACCTGAGAGAAATCAAGCACTTGTCCTTCAATACTCAACATCATATTGAGAATTTCAGGAAAACAAAAGGGAAGAAAAAGAAAATTCAATATAATTTTTATTCCAAAAGAAGTAAAGTAACAACTGTAAGAAAGTGGTGGCATTTACCAGACTTGGCTGGTGAGCTTTTGTTATCGTAGGGCAACTCCTTTTGTTGTGGAAATAACATTTCATTTCCATGGTGCTTCAAGTTTTAATAATTTCATATTTCTCCCTTTGTTCCCCCAGTCCTATCGGTGGTCATTGCTTTCTGTAGTTGTGATCTCTATGACACTTTTAGGCTCTTATTAACCTTTCATTTAGCAAGTTAATGACTTTATACTTGGTTAACAATTGATGTTAACTTCTCTCTGTACAAATAACTTAAATGTTGATACTCATCAGGGTTCAGAACTTATTTTCCTAAGAACTTCATTTAAATAGTCTGTTTATATCTCAGCCTATTCCACAGCCCATGTCTTTGCTTTTCTTATTTCCTGTACACAGAAGTGTTATCTTTCCCCAGTGCCTATACTGTCAACCATATTAAACTTTCAGCTGTTTTCCTCTGCTAAATACTAAACACAAGGGATGTCCTTGACCTTACCGAATATCTGCCTGGCTAAGTCAATTCTATCCTTCCAGATGTCATCTCCCATGTGATCCCTTAGCCAGTTACCAAGTCTGTGACAAATCTCATAACAAATTCAACAACAGCCTCTCCTTCTTCCATGGACCTACTTTTAAATTCTGGATCCTTCCACTGGCTGCAGTGTCAAGTGACCTTGTTAAGAACAGTGAAGGAGAAGGACAATAAAGGTCAGTCAAGAAACCTAAGATAAGAACTGTACTCTTTAAAACTAAGTCTTTCATAATCAGCTAACTATACTCAAGGATAAATTCCAGAGTCAGAAATACCTCAGCCATCAGCAGATAAAAGATTTTTCCAAGGCCGGGCGCGGTGGCTCAAGCCTGTAATCCCAGCACTTTGGGAGACCGAGGCGGGTGGATCACGAGGTCAAGAGATCGAGACCATCCTGGTCAACAAGGTGAAACCCCGTCTCTACTAAAAATACAAAAAATTAGCTGGGCATGGTGGCGTGTGCCTGTAATCCCAGCTACTCAGGAGGCTGAGGCAGGAGAATTGCCTGAACCCAGGAGGCAGAGGTTGCGGTGAGCCGAGATCGCGCCATTGCACTCCAGCCTGGGTAACAAAAGTGAAACTCCGTCTCAAAAAAAAAAAAAGATTTTTCCAGCATCCTGAATAAGATTAAGACCAGAGCCCGGTGCAGTGGCTCAAGCCTATAATCCCAGCACTTTGGGAGGCCAAGGCAGGTGGATCACGAGGTCAAGAGATTGAGACCATCCTGGTCAACATGGTGAAACCCCATCTCTACTAAAAATCCAAAAAAATTAGCTGGGCATGGTGGCGCGTGCCTGTGATCCCAGCTACTCAGGAGGCTGAGGCAGGAGAATTGCCTGAACCCAGGAGGCGGAGGTTGAGGTGAGCCAAGATCATGCCATTGCACTCCAGCCTGGGTAACAAGAGCGAAACTCCGTCTCAAAAAAAAAAAAAAAAAAAGATTAAGACCAGAGAACCAAATGTTAAGAGATGGCAAACTTCCACCTGTTGGTCAAATAACACCCACCGCAAAGATCAGAAGGGCTCTGACAGAACACGTAAGCTTCTGCTCTTCCTGTCACCATAGCTATGCACAGGGCAAGGGTTCTGGAAACCCTCTAATGCGGAACAACCAGAACTAATAACCAGGCTGAACACCATCAACCGCAGAGAAACCAGTTCCAGAAGGCAATAAAGGTCCAAATCTAGACCCACCCTAATTAACGTACTGGGCATTTGGAGATTACTTCTGAGATTCTGGGGGAAAGTTACAATATACTAAAACAAATGGTTAATTCCAAGGGTTTACTCTCCAACTACTCTAAGAACACACAGTAAAAATGTCTTAAAGATAGAACTGTGTGTCAAACACAACCTGGACAATTAGCAAAATTATTCTTTTCCCTGAACATTTTCAAAGTTCTGTGCAGTCTTATCTGCCCCTTACCTTGCTCACAGTGCCTCACAGGGCTTCATTTTCACTGTGCCTGTAGTGTGAACTTTTTTACACATAGGATTTAAGTGATACATCAAATAGGTTTCAGTAATCAACCACAGATGTCTCTGGATGACTCCAGATAACTGCACACAAGATTGATCTGAACTTGCATATCCTGATGCAACAGGGACCACAAGATCTAGCCTCAAGAATAGGAAGCAAAATACAAAATATGTGATTAAAAAAAAGTACATGTCAGCCAGGCATGGTGGCTCATGTCTATAATCTCAGCACTCTGGGAGGCCAAGGCAGGCAGATCACTTGAGGCCAGGAGTTCAAGACCAGGCTGGCCAACATGGTAAACTCCATCTCTACTAAAAGTACAAAAATTAGCCTTGCATGGTGATGTGTGCCTGTAGTCCCAGCTACTAGGGAGGCTGAGGCAGGAGAATCACTTGAACCTGGGAGGTGGAGGTTGCAGTCAGCCGAGACCGTGCCACTGTACTCCAGCCTGAGCAACAGAGCAAGAGACTCCCTCTCAAAGAAAAAGGAAAAAAAATACATGTTGCTAAAATACTACTCAGTGGTGACAAGGAGCAAAGTATTGACACACGTCAATAACTCACAGGGATGTCAAGGGTATTATCAGGCTAAGTGAAAAAAGCTAATCTTAAAAGGTTACATACTACATGATTTGATTCCGTTTATATAACCTTTCTTTCTTCTTTTTCTTTTTTAAGATGGAGTCGCCCTCTGTGGCCCAGGCTGGAGTGCAAGGGTGCAATCTCGGCTCACTGCAACCTCCACCTCCTGGGTTCAAGTCAATCTCTTGCCTCAGTCTCCAGAGTAGTTGGGATTACAGGTGTGCACCACCATGCCTGGCTAATTTTTGTATTTTTAGTAGAGATGGTTTTCACCATGTTGGTCAGGCTGGTCTCGAACTCCTGACATCGTGATCTACCAAACTTGGCAGTACATGTAAAACCAGGTGAAATCTGAAAAAAGTCACTGCCTGAATAAACAGTATTATATCAAAGTCAATTTCTTCACTTTGACAAGGTATCTTGACTATGCAAGATATTACTGGGGAAAGCTGAGTGAGGGGTACATGGGAATTCTCTATACTATTTTTACAACTTACTGTGAATCTTAAACTAATTCAAACTAAAAGAATAGACTTAGAGGGGAGGGAAGGAAGGGAAGTAAACATAACTGAAAGATTAGGCAATTCTACTTCTTAAAAAGTTGAGTTGTTAGCTAAAGACTTAAGAAAACACCCTAGCTAACTTTGTTTTCTTTTCCTCCTGTATATATTTATAGAATCCTTAATATTATTACCTTTTCTTTTTTTTTTGAGACGGAGTCTCACTCTGTCACCAGGCTGGAGAGCAGTGACATGATCTCGGCTTACTGCAACCTCTGCCTCCCGGGTTCCAGTGATTCTCTTGCCTCAGCCTTCCAAGTAGCTGGGACTATAGGCATTTGCCACCATGCCCAGCTAATTTTTGTATTTTTAGTAGAGATGGAGTTTCACTGTGTTGGCCAGGATGGTCTCCATCTCTAAACCTCGAGATCCACCCGCCTCGGCCTCTCAAAGTGCTGGAATTACAGGTGTGAGCCACCGCACCTGGCCTCTTCTTACTCTTTAATATTTTCAAATAGGTATTTTGTTCTGGTTGTGTACTCTTGACTCTATTGATGAGTGACTAGTTTTTTTTTTTTTTTTTTTTTTTTTGAGACGGAGTTTCGCTCTTGTTACCCAAGCTGGAGTGCAATGGCGCCATCTCGGCTCACCGCAACCTCCACCTCCTGGGTTCAGGCAATTCTCCTGCCTCAGCCTTCTGAGTAGCTGGGATTACAGGCACGTGCCACCATGCCCAGCTAATTTTTTGTATCTTTAGTAGAGACGGGGTTTCAACATGTTGACCAGGATGGTCTCGATCTCTTGACCTCGTGATCTACCCGCCTCAGCCTCCCAAAGTGCTGGGATTACAGGCTTGAGCCACCGCGCCCGGCTGGAGTGACTAGTTATAAACATATAATTGATAAATACAATTTTCCCACTTAATATTAAGAGGGAAAATGGAGTGGGGGGTGGGGAGGGATACTGTGGAGTATTTTCAAAGTAGAAAAAAAATAATCATGGTTAAATTTAAAAAGAGAAACAAAGCGTAACCTAAAATAAAATAATAAGCTATTCTTGGATCCTTTCAAAGGTTCTGGGTCCTTGGTAATAATAGTGAACAGGAGGGAAATTATACTTTTCACTGTAGCTTCATTTGCATGAACAGTTTTTTTAACCATGTATATAATATGTATATATTACTTTTTTAATTTAAAAAAGTTAGAATAAAAAATTAGAAAGAACAAATGCATAACATAACATGACAATGAAAAAATATTGAGAAAAGTAATAAAATGGTATAAAAGCACTGTTTACAAAGATTTTCTTTTAAAATAAATAAGAACAATGACTTTATTAAAAGATACTTAAACTTTTTTTTTTAGGCAACATAAAGTTTACTTTAGTTTAAAATAAAGGTAAATATAGCCTGTAATCCCACAACTTTGGGAAGCTGGGGAGAGTAGACTGCTTGAGGCCAGGAGTTCCAGACCAGCCTGGGCAAAATGGCAAAAACCCTGTCTCTACAAAAAATATAAAAATTAGCTGGGCATGGTGGCACATGACTATAGTCCCAGCTACTCAGGAGGCTGAAGTGGGAGGATCACTTGACCCTGGGGGTCAAAAATGTAGTAAGCCTACATCATGCCACTGTACTTCAGCCTGGGTGACAGAGTGAGTCCATGTCTCAAAGAAATAAGCAAAAAGGTAAATATAAAGAAGCTTAGGCAGTTCACTTTGCTATACCAAACTTACCAAACTTTTTTTTTTTGAGATGGACTCTTAACTCTGTTACCCAGACTAGAGTATAGTGGCATGATCTTGGTTCACTGCAATCTCCACCTCTGGGTTTAAGCAATCCTCCCACAGCCTCTCAAGTATCTGGGAGTACAGGTGTGGCCACCACATCTGCTAATTTTTGTATTTTTAGTAGAGACAGGTTTCGCCATGTTGGCCAGGCTGGTCTCAAACTCCTGACCTCAGGTGATCTGCCCGCCTCAGCTTCCCAAAGTACTGGGTAATATTACAGGTGTGAGCCACCATGCCCAGCCTATACCAGACTCTTTTACTTAACAATTGAAGAACTATTCTTCCCTAAGAGACAGCTGTACAATCAAACGAAATATTCAATCATAGGCTCCCTGACTATTACAGAAATACACTCTTGGCCAAGCACAGTGGAATTCCAGCACTTTGGGAAGCCGAGGTGGGCAGGTGATTTGAGGTTAGGGGTTGGAGACCAGCCTGGCCAACACGGTGAAACCCCATCTCTACTAAAAATACAAAAATTAGCCTGGCATGGTGCTGGGCCCCTGTAATCCCAGCTACTTGGGAGGTTGAGGCAGGAGAATTGCTTGAGCCTGGGAGGTGGAGGTTGCAGTGAGCAGAGATTGTGGATGACAGAGTGAGAATTTGTCTAAAACAACAACAAAGAAAAATAAAATATACTCTTTTTTTTTTGAGACGGAGTTTTGCTCTTGTTACCCAGGCTGGAATGCAATGGCGTGATTTCAGCTCACCGCAACCTCTGCCTCCTGGGTTCAGGCAATTCTCCTGCCTCAGCCTCCTGAGTAGCTGGGATTAGAGATTACAGGCACGCGCCACCATGCCCAGCTAATTTTTATATTTTTAGTAGAGATGGGGTTTCACCATGTTGACCAGGATAGTCTCGATCTCCCGACCTCATGATCCACCCGCCTCGGCCTCCCAAAGTGCTGGGATTACAGGCTTGAGCCACTGCGCCCAGCCCGAAAATATACTCTTATTTAGAAAGATCTGTATACAAATACAACATAAAGGAAAATCACAAAGCTGAAATGTCTTCACGTTATTTTACGCAAAAAAAGGAAATGCTAGTTACAAAAATGAAATAATAAAGTTTGGTATACTCATGACATTTGTCACCACTGAAAGGAGAAAAGAATAGTATATTTTTTCAGAGATTTTTCATAAAGGATCCACAAGTACATCCTGTTTCCTGGACAATCAGGTTTAATAAGCTCTGTTCACTTTTTCTAGCCAGGAATTCTTTTTTTTTTTTTTTTTTTTTTGAGACAGAGTCTTGATTTGTCGCCAGGTGCCAGGCTGGAGTGCAGTGGCGGAATCTCGGCTCACTGCAATATCCACCTCCTGGGTCAAGCAATTATCCTGCTTCAGCCTCTGGAGTAGCTGGGACTACAGGCGTGAGCCACCACACCCAGCTAATTTTTTTTTGTTTTTTGTTTTTTGAGTAGAGATGGGGTTTCACCATGTTGGCCAGGATTGGTCTCGCTCTCTTGACCTTGTGATCCACCCGCCTCGGCCTCCCAAAGTGCTGGGATTACAGGCTGAGCCACTGCACCTGGCCTCTAGCCAGGAATTCTTTTTTTCCTTAAAGATGGGTTTCACCATGTTGGTCAGGCTGGTCTTGAACTCCTGACCTCAGGTGATCCATCTGCCTTGGCCTCCAAAGTGCTTGGATTATAGGCATGGGCTACCACGCCCAGCCTAGCCAGGAATTCTTAACCCAAGATAAGAAGACTATCAAAGGACTGTTACAATTTAGTCAATTTCAATATAACTGGTTGCCTCTATAGTCATTTAATGCATTTTAAATCATTATTCTTTTTCTTTTTGGAGACAGGGTCTCATTCTGTCACCCAGGATAGAAGGCAGTGGCACGATCTCAGCTCACTGCAACCTCTGCCTCCCAGGTTCAAATGATCCTCCTGCCTCAGCCTCCTGAGTAGCTGGGATTACAGGCGTGTGCCACCACGCCTAGCTAATTTTTGAATTTTTATTAGAGACGAGGTGTCACGATGTTGGCCAGGCTGGTCTCAAACTCCTGACCCCAAGTGACCTGCTCACCTCAGCTTCCCACAGTGCTGGGATTACAGGCATGAGCCACTGGGCCTGACCTAAAATCATTATTCTGGGCCAGACTCCTAAGGCTTCTTCCAACTGCCAAAAGGGTTGTGGCAATAACAATAATAATAACAACGTAAGAATCTAAACTACCAGAGAAGTCTCCTGAATTTTTTACCAACCTACCTATACTTCATCACAGAATACACGAGAAGAAATAGAATATGCAGTGCTGCCATCCAAGTTAACACTGCTGTCATTTGTGGTTGCTCTTTACATCTTCCTTCATATATCTTTAAATTATGGCAACTGAAGGCCAGCAATGTTCCAGGAGTCCAAGAAGTGATAAAATAATAGTTGGACAGATTTTAAAAATAAGATATTCTTCATATAGTTGTCAAGTAACTGCATTAAAATAATAAAACATCTCCTTCCTCCTAATTTACTGGTTTTTTTTTTTGTGTGTGTGTGTGTGTGTGAGACAGAGTTTCGCTCTTGTTACCCAGGCTGGAGTGCAATGGCGCAATCTTGGCTCACCGCAACCTCCGCCTCCTGGGTTCAAGCAATTCTCCTACCTCAGCCTCCTGAGTAGCTGGGATTACAGGCACGCGCCACCATGCCCAGCTAATTTTTTGTATTTTTAGTAGAGACGGGGTTTCACCATGTTGACCAGGATGGTCTTGATCTCTCGACCTCGTGATCCACCCGCCTCGGCCTCCCAAAGTGCTGGGATTACAGGCTTGAGCCACCGCGCCCGGCTAATTTACTGTTAATCAGATTACAGAGTAATAGTTTTGTAAGAAAACTACTGGCTGGGTGCGGTGGCTCACGCCTGTAAAACCAGTGCTTAGGGACGTCAAGGTGGGAGGATCACGAGGTCAGGAGTTCGAGACCAGCCTAGCCAACTTGGTGAAACTCCATCTCTACTAAAAATACAAAAAGTAGCTGGGTATAGTCAGGGGCATCTGTAATCCCAGCTACTTGGGAGGCTGAGGCAGGATAATCGCTTGAACCCAGAAGGCAGATGTTGTAGTGAGCTGAGATCACAACATTGCACTCTAGCCTGGTGACAGAGCAAGACTGTCTCAGGGGAAAAAAAAGAAAAAAAGAAAACTATACCTTTATTATGTAGTAACCAGGCTTCATTGAATATCATTCAATTCTTACTATGACTAAAACTTATTTGCTATTATATACCACATTTGCAATACAATAGAATTAGCTGCAATGGATAAAACAGATTTGTATCTTACCTCTCCATAAGTATTTAAGTTGCTTTTTAAATAGCCTGTGAGTGCAGCAACTTGGCATGCAAAATATGGTAGTGCCCAGTTTTCTCTTAAAGGAATGGAGTATTCAATTCTTGTTGTATCTACCCTAAAATAAACCACAGATGAACAGTAAAAATAAGACATCATATTTGTGTTATACTATACTTTTCAGAGTACTTTAACACAAATCTCATAGTTCTCCATAACAATCCTATGAGGTAGGCATAGCCAGATTCACCATTGTCTTTCTTTTTTTGAGACAGACTCTTGCACTGTCCCCAGGCTGGAGTGCAATGGTGTGATCCTCTGCTCACTGCAATCTCTGCCTCCCAGGTTCGAACAATTCTCCTCATTCTCCTGCTTAGTCTCCAGAGTAGCTGGGATTACAGGCGCATGCCACCATGTCTGGCTAATTTTTGTATTTTTAGTAGACGGGATTTCACTATGTTGGCCAGGCTGGTCTCAAACTCCTGACCTCAGTTTATCCACCTGCCTCAACCTCCCAAAGTGCTGGGATTACAGGCATAAGCCACCGTGCCCAGCTTAGATCCACCAGTGTCTATACAGCATCTTTGAGAAAATTAATAGTGTCTCACCACACGCCTCCACCCCCACCAAGAAGCTGCAGAGCTACTGTGCACTACTTGATGAACAGATGGGCCTCTGTGAGAGTTTGAAAAAGGCATGCCGCCAGGCGTGGTGACTCACGCCTGTAATCCAGCACTTTGGAGGCCAAGGCAGGTGGATCACCTGAGGTTGGGAGTTCAAGACCAGCCTGACCAACATGGTGAAACCCCATCTTAAAAAAAAAAAAAAAGAAAAAGAAGGCCGGGCGCGGTGGCTCAAGCCTGTAATCCCAGCACTTTGGGAGGCCGAGGCGGGTGGATCACGAGGTCGAGAGATCAAGACCATCCTGGTCAACATGGTGAAACCCCGTCTCTACTAAAAAAATACAAAAAATTAGCTGGGCATGGTGGCACGTGCCTGTAATCCCAGCTACTCAGGAGGCTGAGGCAGGAGAATTGCCTGAACCCAGGAGGCAGAGGTTGCGGTGAGCGGAGATCGCGCCATTGCACTCCAGCCTGGGCAACAAGAGCGAAACTCCGTCTCAAAAAAAAAAAAAAAAAAAAAAAAATTCTTTGGCCGGGCGCGGTGGCTCAAGCCTGTAATCCCAGCACTTTGGGAGGCCGAGGCGGGTGGATCACGAGGTCGAGAGATCGAGACCATCCTGGTCAACATGGTGAAACCCCGTCTCTACTAAAAATACAAAAAACTAGCTGGACATGGTGGCGCGTGCCTGTAATCCCAGCTACTTAGGAGGCTGAGGCAGGAGAATTGCCTGAACCCAGGAGGCGGAGGTTGCGGTGAGCCGAGATCGCGCCATTGCACTCCAGCCTGGGTAACAAGAGCAAAACTCCGTCTCAAAAAAAAAAAAAAAAAAAAAAAAAAAAAGCATGCCTTCTCTGGGCAGACCCCATGCTAAAGTACACAGCTTGTTGCACAGAGTACCCCGAGTGTCAGCCCCACTCTCCCTTCCCTTAACCAGAAGGTTACCCTGGCTACCCTGGCTACCTTCACTAGCTACCCTTCCCTGGCTACCCTTCACTAGAGCACAATCTGCACCACATAACTAGCAGCCTGACAGATCCCAAGTTCTTATCCCCCTTTACAAAAGGAATATGATGTTCAGAAATGTAGTGTAACTTAATCAAGGCTATCTAGCCAGTAGGTGGCATAACTGGGATTAAAATACTTATCTTCAGATATCTAATTCAATTATCTTTTCAGTCAGCAAGTTCCCCAGAATTAATATCACAGTCTTTTATGTGATATATTTAGAAACTTTTGAAAATTTCCAGAAGCTGGCCAGGCGCGTTGGCTCACACCTGTAATCCCAGCACTTTGGGAAGCTAAGGTGGGTGGATCACGAGGTCAAGAGATCGAGACCATCCTGGTCTACATGGTGAAACCCCGTCTCTACTAAAAATGCAAAAAATTAGCTGGGCATGGTGGCGCGTGCCTGTAATCCCAGCTACTAAGGAGGCTGAGGCGGGAGAATTGCCTGAACCCAGGAGGCGGAGGTTGAGGTGAGCCGAGATCGCGCCATTGCACTCCAGCCTGGGTCACAAGAGTGAAACTCCGTCTCAAAAAAAAAATAAAAAAGAAAATTCCCAGAATCAGAAATACAGTAATGTCAGGCCGAGTGCGGTGGCTCACGCTTGTAATCCCAGCACTTTGGGAGGCCAAGGCAAGTGTATCACCTAAGTTCAGGAGTTCAAGATCAGTCTGGCCAACATGGTGAAACCCCATCTCTAATAACAACACAAAAATTAGCCAGGTGTGGTGGCACACACCTGTAGTATCAGCTACTTGGGAGGCTGAGGCAGGAGAATTGCTTGAACCTGGGAGGCAGAGGTTGCAGTGAGCAGAGGATCGTGCTACTGCACTCCAGCCTGGATGACACAGCAAGACTCCATCTCAAAAAAAATAAATAAAAGGCACAGAAATATAGGAATGTCTTTGTAGGTTCCTCCTAAATTTCTCCTCAGTCAATATTCATTAAGAGTCTATTGTGTCCTGTGCACATCCTCATGCCACAGGGGGACTACCTCTCCAGCAATGACTGAATTTGGCTCTTACATTCAATAGCTATTTTCCACACAAAAATAAAGGTGCTATTGTTTTTTTGAAAATTTATGAAAATTGCTGCTTAACTTTCCTAAGTAATAATGATGGACATGCTTCCACATTAACTTACTTCCCTTAATGGCCAAGTAACACACTCCTGCATGCTGGTATCAGAGTTAGTAATTATATTTCCAATTACACCAATCATGAACCACTGAATTGTTTGCGAATAATCAAAATTACGAATGTTACATCCTCACAGACCAAGAAGATAAAGTTTCAACAGCAGTAAATCCAACTAGGCTTGGCATGTTATCACAGCCAAAGGAAATGAACGCACGCTTCAAAATGCCATGAAAACAAAGGAACGAAACATTTTTGAGGAAACGACTAAGGAGAAATTACATTTTTCCTTATATAATAGGAGCACACATAATAAATCCTAAAAATCACTTTTACTCATCTCTTTTTCTAGTCTCAGACCTCTAAATACTATTAACTTTTTTCTATTCCCTCCCCAATTGCTGGAGTGCAGTGACATGATCCACGGCTCACTGCAGCCTTGACCTCCCAGGCTCAGATGATCCTCCCGCCTCAGTAACCACCCAGTAACTGGGATTACAGGCACGTGCCACCACACACAGCTAATTTTTTGCATTTAGTAGAGCCAGTGTTTCACGACGTTTTCCAGGTTGGTCTCACACTCCTGGGTTCAAACAGTTCACCTGCCTTGGCTTCCCAAAGTGCTGGAGTTACAGGTGTGAGCTACTGTGCCTAGTAGCACAATGTACTTTCTTTTTTTTTTTTTTTTTTTTTTTTTTTTGAGACGGAGTTTCGCTCTTGTTACCCAGGCTGGAGTGCAATGGCGCGATCTCGGCTCACCGCAACCTCCGCCTCCTGGGCTCAGGCAATTCTCCTGCCTCAGCCTCCTAAGTAGCTGGGATTACAGGCACGCACCACCATGCCCAGCTAACTTTTTGTATTTTTAGTAGAGACGGGGTTTCACCTTGTTGACCAGGATGGTCTCGATCTCTCGACCTCGTGATCCACCCGCCTCGGCCTCCCAAAGTGCTGGGATTACAGGCTTGAGCCACCGCGCCCGGCCGCACAATGTACTTTCTAATGCCAAGTCATCTACAGCCCTCTCTGTGATTCTTCAAAATTATATTTTGACCTATTTTCTGTTTAGCACAGCAGTTCAGTAGCTAAGCAAAACAAAAGAATTTCCTAGGAAGAAAGCGATAAAAATAGGGTGAAAAATAATTATACTTTAACATTTTTGTTCCTGTTGATATGTATAACAATACTAATCACTAAAAATACAAATCACTAAAAATAATTGAGGATCTCCATTGCCCTACAATTCATTCAAGTATTTGTCCCTTATGTAAATATTTTACAGAATCAAAACTCAGTGAATTTATATTCTGCTTTTTAAACTTAAATGTATTTTGCATGTTCTCCTTTCTTCATACTTACAGTGTTTTGCAAAATATTTTATTACAAAAGCTGTGTTTGTTAAAGAAATATTATAAAATGTATATAAACAAAAAGAAGAAAAACTTATAACACCTATAATATCATCCATTCAGAGGCCAACATTGTTAAATCTTCTGCCATAGCTTAGCTAGTACAGTATGATGAGGAAAAGAAACACAAGGAATCAAATTGAAAAGGAAAGTAAAACTTGTTTTTTTGCAGAAGATACATGTACATAGAAAACCCAAAAGAATCTTAAAAAAATACAAAAACTAATAAATGAATTTAGCGAGGCTATGGGCTACAAGGTTTCTTTTAAGACAGAGTCTTGCTCTGTTGCCCAGGCTGGAGTGCAGTGGCATGATCTCGGCTCATTGCAATTTCCAACACCCTGGTTCAAGTGATTCTCCTGCCTCAGCCTCTGGAGTAGCTGGGACCACAGGCGTGTGCAACCATGCCCAGCTAATTTTCTGTATTTTTAGTAAAGATAAGGTTTCACCATGTTAGCCAGGATGGTCTCGATTTCCTGATCTCATGATCTGCCTGCCTTGGCCTCCCAAAGTGCTGCGATTAGAGACATGAGCTACCATGCCTGGCCTGTTTTTGTTGTTCTGAAACAGAGTTTCACTCTTATTGCGCAGGCTGGAGTGTAACTGCACAATCTCAGCTCACTGCAACCTCTGCCTCCTGGTTCAAGTGGTTCTCTTGACTTGGCCTCCTAAGTAGCTGAGATTACAGGCACGCACCACCATACCCAGCGAATTTTGTATTTTTAGTAGAGACAGGGTTTCACCATGTTGGTCAGGCTAGTCTTGAATTCCTGACCTCAGATGATCTACCCGCCTCGGCCTCCCAAAGTGCTGGGATTACAAGCATGAGCCACTGTACCCGGTTAACTGTGGGATACAGGGTTAATATACACCAATCAATTGTTTTTCTATAAACTATCAATGAATATTAAAATTACCATTTATAACAACATCAAAAAGATGAAATTTC